TCACGACGTTATACAATTAGGGTAAAGGAAATATTTCTAAGAGCCCGATATTTGTTCTATCAGATTTGTACACTTGTACTGCTGTGTAACGTTTTTCATGGCGTAAAATTGAAAACATCGGAAGAAAGTATTAATTGATTTTTTAAATCAAGAAAAACACAGACTCTAGGGCACAGAGGGCAAAATATGTCCTTGCAGCTAAGACCATATTATAAGATAATATAAGATAAAGGCTTAAAGCTGAAAGACAAGGTTCAGGGCGAGATAGCTAAAGTGGAGTCCAAGAAACACTAACTCCCATTAAAAAAGACTATTTTTTAAAAAGTTTTCTTTCGTTGTTTTAAAATCGAAAGAAAAATTGGTACATGTACATTGTACATTGTACCAGCCTTCACCGTTTGGTTTCAAACAAACAATGGTTCGCTCTTTTCCTCCTCCTAATTTAAAACCCTGCCTGGGTGGACATAAAATCGTAGTACATTGAAAATTAAATACGGATCAAATACCGTCCTCTGCCCTAAATTTATCATTTTATCACCACTATCACTGCACTAACCAGTAACCGCACCACTCACTCAGTGTTCCCAATTTGTCTTATTAGGGTAAAATAACAGCAAAATATCACGGAAGACAGGTAAGGGTAAGATTTGCCTCGTCACATTGTATAAATCTTCTTTTTCTAGGTGAGATTTGAAGCTTGAAGAAACAGATGTGAAGAAATATCAAAAGGATGCACAAAAGGTTGCGGAGAAATAACCAGGGAAAAGTATAGCAGGGTCCAGAAGAAGTGATATAAAGAGACGATAAACAATAAATGAGTTTGGCGACTAGGTACTTGGTACTATCGAGAACAGCTGTCAGTTAATTGATTGAAAATGTTGTTCAATAATTCTAAATCTTATTTTTACGATGTGATTAATGATTATAATTTATGATGGCTATATTTTCAATTTTGGCTACTTTTCTAATCTTGTTTTTTGCGATGCTCATATTATCTGTAATATAATAATTAGAATTTGGTGATTATCTAAGCCTCGGTGGTTTCATAATTCGGTTGGTCACTATACTTTCTATAATAGTATTTCAATCATTCACTGTCCAATCACGTTTAACCAATCGGTTCAACTTTTAAAATTTTGAATGGAAAGTTCAAAAATTGTGAACAAAAATATTGGATTTATTAAATCCTATTGACTCACCCGTCTACTTTTAAAAGTATGGTGAGAGCACAGGAGGACTTCTATCAGTCAGTTAACGAAGAGTGGCTAGCAGCGAACCCATGCCCTAGCGACTACTCGCGATGGGGAACTTTTGAGGAGCTGAATAAAGTTCGTCTTCTTTTTTAGTTGTTTATATTTATTTATTTATTTAACGAACAGGATTAAATTCGGGGCTTTGCGTTAAGTTTGTTAATTCGTCAGCATTAAGCTTTTAAATTCAACTAATCGAATGTTGGTTGAAATTCAATTTGTTGAATTATTGGCAAGTTTCCATAAACGATATTTTATGATCGTCGCCGATAATCGCTTATTGAGCGCTTTTTCGGCGCTTTTTTTAAAAAAAACCGTTTACAATCGCTTTTTTTACGATTATAAACGGTTCAAAAAAAATCGCTTATAATCGACTATAATTGATGTCATAATTCAAAAAAGCGCTTTTTTGAATTTAAAAGCGCTTATAAGCGCTTTTAAGCGCTTACTAGCGTCGCTGAGCGATTTGAAAGCGGTGTTCCAGTAGGATTAGCGCCAAAAACGGGTGGATAAGCGGTTGGCCGGATAAGCGATTCGTAGGCGCTTTTTTGAACCATTTATAAGCGATTATAAGCGCTTATAATTGGGGTGCAATTTAGCTGTTTGTAAAGCGCAAATAAAGCGCTTATAAGCGCTTTTAAAATTGAGTCAGGAAAACGCTATATTACATCTTACAACCGCTTATAATCGATTATAAGCGTTTTTTCAGAAATCGCTTATAACAGCTAATTCATCGCTATTTCACCGCTTTTACCGCTTTTCCTATCATCCATGGCCAGGTGAGCAGGAATTAAAAAGCGCTTATAAGCGCTTTTTCGATGCTGCCCCTAGCCTGGTCGGAACGGGGTAGTGCCCGGAATTTAAAAGCGCTTATAAGCGATTTCTCAATTCCCCTTAACCTGGTTGGAACTTTCATGTGCTTTTATGAGCAACCTGGGGTGCACAGGCAGAGTCAGGATTTAAAAGCGCTTATAGGCGCTTATGATCGCTTTTCTACCGCTTTTTCTATCACCCATGGCCTGGTTGGCAAGAATTATAAAGCGCTTATAAGCGTTTTTTCAATGCTGCCCCTAACCTGTTCGGAACAGGAGTGTGCCCGGAATTAAAAAGCGCTTATAAGCGCTTTTTCAATGCTGCCACTAACCTGGTCGGAACGGGGGAGTGCCCGGAATTAAAAAGCGCTTATAAGCGATTTCTCAATTCCCCTTAACCTGGTCGAAACTTGCATGTGCTTTTCTGAGCAACCTGGGGTGCACCGGCAGAGTCAGGATTTAAAAGCGCTTATAGGCGCTTATGATCGCTTTTCTACCGCTTTTTCTATCACCCATGGCCTGGTTGGCAAGAATTATAAAGCGCTTATAAGCGCTTTTTCAATGCTGCCACTAACCTGGTCGGAACGGGGGAGTGCCCGGAATTAAAAAGCGCTCATTAGCGCTTTTTTAATGCTGCGCTTATAAGCGATTTCTCAATTCCCCTTAACCTGGTCAGAACTGGAAATCAGTGTGCCCGCTTATAGTTATAAGTGCTTTTCTGTGCAACCTGGGGTCACCGGCAGAATCAGGATTTAAAAGCGCTTATAGGCGCTTATGATCGCTTTTCTACCGCTTCTACTAAATCGCTTGCCCAAATTTTAAGGAAATTCTTGTGAAAAGGCCCTTTGGGGCATGAAAATGATCTATATATGTGTATTTTTGGACGCTGATTCCGAATCACCCCCCATGACGTAGGGTTAAAATGCTTCCCTGGAGAGTTATGGGCAAAAATCCGTTTTGGTCACGTGACAGGCTAGGCTAGTAAAATACGAATTCGATTGTTTAGGGCCCGGGTTAGGGTTAGGCTTGTGGAACGGGTTATGGTTAACTTCGGGGTTATGGTTAGGGTTAGGGTTGGGATTAGGATTTATGTAAAACCGTTTTGTACGGCTGCAAAACCATAAAAACCAAAGTCACGTGAAATTTTTGGGCGAGCGAATTAGTAAAAGCCGAGTTGGACTCCAATATATGGAACAAATATTTTACGAGTGTCACCCGTCAATTCTCGCAATCACGTTCAACATTGCGCTTCGCACAAATACGGCGCGCGCTAACATTGACTCTTAAAATAATCGGATTGCTTTAATGTTTAAGTACCCGGGTTTTTACGCTTGCAGTGGCGCCCCACCTCCCGGTGACACAGAGGCGGTACTTGTGCGAAAAAATGCTTGCAGCCTGGGCACGGATCTAAGCAATTTTATATTGGGTGTCAAAATTTTGTCCTCATATCTGCAATCTGACGTCGCGCGTGGCAACATGAATACTGCGGGCGCGCGCACGAAGGCGAGTTGATGCTTTTCTTTACTTGTGAAACAAGTGGCGCGAATTTTACCAGGTGACCCCAAGCTAGTATGTTCATAAGCATAGCCTGGCGTAATTAAACCCTCTAAAACGCGCAAATAGGCGTGTTTATGCGATTTTACAATCAAATAATCAGATTTTACAATCTAACTCAGCGCGCGGCTCTTGTAGTGCATACGTCACTTCTTTTTTATTGGTGGTTGGCGTGCACGTGATCTTTTGCGCGGCTCTAATTGGTTCTGAACGATCACGTGAATGCTAGTCCAATGAGCATTCGCACTTTTTTAGGGCGATGAAAGTCGTAATTCACTCAGCCCGAATAAAGATTTGGCGGAATGCAGATAATGACAGGCTGAGCGCCGCCCAGTAACGCGAATTGTAAGCACCCTGTCACCCGATCTTAAGGTGACGTACGACACTTCGTTTAACAAACTAATTAAAACGTTTTTTGTTTCCCGCTAGGCTCATTGGACCAGGTGAGCTTGCATGCTTGTGAATGTGATTGTAAGTACAGCTGTACTGTAGTTTATACCTAATTACCCCGGCCTACTGCAGAAACTGCAAAGTGCGGGAAATTTTGGGAACCAATATATGGTTGCCAAAATCGATGGAGGGTTGGCGGCTAGATCAAAGCTCAACGGCTTTGGATTAGGGGTGGACGATAAAATAAACTTGCTCAGATTTTAAAATTTTTTTGTAACACTGTTTTCTAGAGACTGTGAGAATTTTCACAATACCAAATTTGTCATACCTTTTTGGAAAGATCAGTGAGTTTCGCCTCACTAGCTGGGTGCAATTTGCTCTATCCAGAGCCCTTGCGCTTGCAGTAGCGCGCGCCCACTCACTTCTTGACGTACTTGTGAAACAAGCGCGCCCGAAGTGGCGCGAAAGCACATGGTTAGGTAATGGGAAAAGCGGTAGAAAAGCGATCATAAGCGCCTATAAGCGCTTTTAAATCCTGACTCTGCCGGTGCACCCCAGGTTGCACAGAAAAGCACTTATAAGCGGGCACTCTGATTTCTAGTTCCGACCAGGTTAAGGGGAATTGAGAAATCGCTTATAAGCGCTTATTAATTCCAGGCACTCCCCCGTTCCGACCAGGTTAGGGGCAGCATTGAAAAAAAGCTTATAAGCGCTTTATAATTCTTGCCAACCAGGCCTTGGGTGATGGGAAAAGCGGTAGAAAAGCAATCATAAGCGCCTATAAGCGCTTTTAAATCCTGACTCTGCCGGTGCACCCCAGGTTGCTCAAAAAAGCACATGCAAGTGGGCACTCTCCAGTTCCGACCAGGTTGAAGAGAATTGAGAAATCGTTTATAAGCGCTTTTTAATTCCGGGCACACCCCCGTTCCAAACAGGTTAGGGGCAGCATTGAAAAAACGCTTATAAGCGCTTTATAATTCTTGCCAACCAGGCCATGGGTGATAGAAAAAGCGGTAGAAAAGCGATCATAATGCTTTTTAATCCTGACTCTGCCGGTGCACCCCAGGTTGCTCAGAAAAGCACTTATAAGCGGGCACTCTGATTTCCAGTTCCGACCAGGTTAGGGGCAGCATTTAAAAAGCGCTTTTTTATTCCGGGCACTCCCCCGTTCCGACCAGGTAAGGGGCAGCATTGAAAAACGCTTATAAGCGCTTTATAATTCTTGCCAACCCATGCCATGGGTGATAGGAAAAGTGGTAGAAAAGCGATCATAAGCGCCTATAAGCGCTTTTAAATCCTGACTCTGCCGGTGCACCCCAGGTTGCTCAGAAAAGCACATGAAAGTTCCAACCAGGTTAAGGGGAATTGGGAAATCGCTTATAAGCGCTTTTAAATTCCGGGCACTACCCCGTTCCGACCAGGCTAGGGGCAGCATCGAAAAAGCGCTTATAAGCGCTTTTTAATTCCTGCTCACCTGGTCATGGATGATAGGAAAAGCGGTAAAAGCGGTGAAATAGCGATGAATTAGCCGTTATAAGCGATTTCTAAAAAAACGCTTATAATCGATTATAAGCGGTTATAAGATGTAATATAGCGTTTTCCTGACTCAATTTTAAAAGCGCTTATAAGCGCTTTATTTGCGCTTTACAAACAGCTAAATTGCACCCCAATTATAAGCGCTTATAATCGCTTATAAATGGTTCAAAAAAGCGCCTACGAATCGCTTATCCGGCCAACCGCTTATCCACCCGTTTTTGGCGCTAATCCTACTGGAAAACCGCTTTCAAATCGCTCAGCGACGCTAGTAAGCGCTTAAAAGCGCTTATAAGCGCTTTTAAATTCAAAAAAGCGCTTTTTTGAATTATGACACCAATTATAGTCGATTATAAGCGATTTTTTTTGAACCGTTTATAATCGTAAAAAAAGCGATTGTAAACGGTTTTTTTTTTAAAAAGCGCCGAAAAAGCGCTCAATAAGCGATTATCGGCGACGATCATAAAATATCGTTTATGGAAACTTGCCGAATTATTGTTTGTAATGATGTATTTTTCAGGCTAACGAGAATCAACTAAGACAAATCCTAGATGACAAGAGCGACGAGTCCGATGAATGGGGCTGTGTTCAAACACTCTGGGAACAAGGACAAGACGAAGCTAATTTAAACGCAACGAAATTCAGTGACGTTCTGGAACGTCATTTGGATGTAATCATTTGGATGAATTCAACGGAAGACCTGGTAGACGTGATCCTAGAGTTATCTCAGAGCGGAGTTAACGTTCCTTTAGACTTCTCCCCGTCGCCAGATCTCAAGGACTCAGACAACATGATTCTGGAAGTGGACAGATCCGGCTTAGGGCTCCAGGACCGGGACGTCTACTTTGATGAGAACATGGCGGATAAACGTGAGGCTTACAAGAAGTATTTAGTGACCCTGACCGACCATATCAAGACAGAAATAAAACCCGATTATCTGGGAGATACCAACGAGGTTTACAAGTTAGAAGAGAGTTTGGCTGAGAGTTGCATGCAGAAGGTTGACCGACGTGAGCCCTACAAAGTGTACAACCCTTACACCATGGCCCAGCTAACGGAGCTATGTCCAAATGTGAACTGGCCCAAATGTTCATTTGCTTTAGGAGTGAATCCACGAGTGAATACACGTCCTGAACAGTATGTGTGCGTGGTCGAGGTGGAGTTCATGAAGAAGTTTAATACTCTTCTGGAAGAAGTTTCACTAGACGTCTGGAAACACTACCTTGCTATCAGACTCATATCTTCCATGGCTAAATATCTTGATGACGTAACCGCACAAATAAGGTTTGATTTTTACGGAAAAGTAATGGCAGGTCAGCAAGAGCAGAAACCAAGATGGAAGAGAGTCTACCACACTGTCAATAGTCTGATAGGTCAAATTGTTGGCAAAAAGTACGTCGATAAGCACTTTCCCAGTGACAGTAAAGCTCAAGTGTTGGATATGATTGAGAGGATGATGAGAGTACTGGAGACCAGGATCAAGAATCTCCCGTGGATGGAGGGTGAAACTAAAGAGAAGGCATTGAAAAAGTTAGGAACATTTGTGGTTAAGATTGGATACCCCGACAAGTGGGAAGATCACAGCACTTTGAACCTGGGAGCAAAGCATTTCTGTGAGAACATCATCATCTGCCAAATGTGGCACACCAATAAGGAGATGGCTAAATGTTACAAACCAGTGGATAAAACTGAGTGGCACATGACCCCGCAAACCGTAAATGCTTACTACAACCCCACTCAGAACGAAATTGTATTTCCAGCAGGAATCATCCAGCCCCCCATGTACAACAAAGATGCTGCTGTTGCTTCAAACTTCGGTGGTATTGGAGCTGTTATCTGTCATGAGATAACTCATGGTTTCGATGATAAAGGAGCAAAGTTTGATCACGCGGGAAACTTGGCACAATGGTGGACTGAGGAAGACGAGAAGAAGTTCAACGAGTGCTCTGAAAAACTCAAGGTTCATTTTGATGAGTACCAAATTTATGGCATGAACGTAAAGGGAGATCTCTGTTTGGGTGAAAACATTGCAGATTTGGGAGGACTGAGCATATCTCTTGAAGCTCTTGCTGGCATGATGGAAGAAGAGAACCGTTCTGAAGAGGAGAAGAGAGAAGAAATGAAGAAGGTTTTCTACGCATGGGCTGTTATCTGGAGGAATAATATCAAAGAAGAGGAAGCAAAGAGAAGAATCATCATGGATCCCCACAGCCCGGGACATCTTAGAGTGAACGGTATAGTAAAGAATGTGGCTCAGTTTTATGATTTGTTTGATGTTAGTTCCGAAGATCCAATGTTCCTTGAGGATGCTAAGAGATCTAAGATTTGGTAAAATTTACGTTTAGTGCAATTCAGGGAAAATATCTAATTTTGGAATTAAAGGTTCAATTATAAAAATTGAATTACGTTTAAACTTCAGATATATTATTAATATATAAATGTGTAGTCCTAATTTGAAATGCGTGTTCTTTCAAGGATCCCGTTTTTTATAAACTACATTTTTAGTTGTGGTATAATATGATGTGCTGTGCACTTATTGGTTGTTTCTTGTTACTGCATCAGTTTATATTTAGGTAGCTTTCATTAAGTTAAAGTTGTTATTAATAGGACGTGTTTCTTAGAATTTCGTGTTATATTAGCGACCAGAGAAATGCCATTGTTGGACGTGAGGACTCCTCAAACTACATTAAATTAAGTCCTTCTGTAACGTCCTGAAGAAATATAGTTACGAAAACAAAATTTACTAAACATTTTAAAACATTATAATATTGTATATTATGCAAGTTTTGTATGTATTATACCAATTGTAACCCTTCATTGACCCTTCATCAATGACGTTATCAAAATTGTATTTCTTCTTTAAAATAAATCATTAAAATTTCATGATTATAATTTTGATTTTTTTAATGTTTCTTCGCAAAATGCATCAACATTCACAAAGTAATTGTATAGATCTTATGATATTGTTTAACAACCTATTTATCCCAGATTTAGGCCCAATGAAATTATAGTAGTGCACCATCATGGCCAGTCCACGCTCGAGGCGGCTCTTGGGAGAGCTCCGACCCCGAGACTCCAACAACCTATGTTTCGAGTGCAACACCAGGAACCCTCAGTGGGCTAGTGTGTCCCTCGCCATCTTCATCTGCTTGGAATGTTCTGGAAAACATCGAAGTGTTGGAGTTCACCTGTCTTTCGTGAGATCTCTCACTATGGACAAGTGGAAGGACACCGAGCTGGCCAAAATGAAAGTTGGTGGGAATGATAAAGCTAGAAAGTTTTTAGAGTCCCAACCTGGCTGGAGCTCAACCATGCCTATTACTCAGAAATACAACACTCCAGCCGCAGAGCTGTGGCGGGACAAGGTGAAGTGCGAGAGCGAGGGGCGACCCTGGGATCCCTCAACAGCCAAAGTTTCCTCGTCTTCATCTTCAATGTATCGTGCCAAAGAAAACAGATCTTCTCCAGCTCTACTTCAAGGTCACGACGAACCATCCACTAAATCAAATCTAAGTGCGAGAGACACATCATCCAACCACTCGTACTCATCAAACAGCTACAACAACATCAGTAACCAGTCATCCTACAATGGAGGTGGTAACAGCGGAGGAGGAGGTTACAACAACAGCAGCTCCGGCGGCTTCCAGAGTGGGAACAACAGCTCCGAGGTGTACACGTACGGAGGGAACACTCAACTACAGGCACGTGATCAGTTCCTAGCTAACAAGATGGAGCAGAACCAGGGCCGAGCTGATAATCTTCCTCCTTCCCAGGGAGGCAAGTATGTAGGATTCGGCAGCACACCTGCCCCACAGCCCCAAGCTAACAATGAGTATATTGATACTTTGTCATACTGGGGCTCTGCGCTGGCTACCGGCGCGTCATCTCTAGCACGTGCTGCAGGTTCCAAAGCATTGGAAGTGAACGAAAACTACATCAAACCCACTGCAGCTAAAGTTGTTGACCCCGCATTCCAGTCGAACATGAAGGCGTCCCTAAGCAACATGTCCACTAAAGCCGCTCAGTTGGGTTCTCAAGGAGCCACCCTTATTGCCAGTTACTCTGAGAAAGGCTGGAATAGTGTGAACGATAAGTACAACAAGGGTTACGGCTACGGTAACAGCGTGGGTAGCAACAACAGTTACAGTAACTCCAGTACTGGGTTTGGGAACACAGGTGGAGGGGATGGAGGAGGAGGTGGAGGGGGTGGAGGAGGAGGAAGTTACCAGAATAACGCTATGGGCGACCCCACCAGTCTCTCCTCCAACATGGGAAACATGTCCGTCAGTGACCCTTACTCCTCCAGCAACTCCTACAGCGCTAGTAGCAACTCTCAATACAGCTCCGGGGTGACCAACAGGGGCCCCGCAAACCAGGACATCTTCGGGCTGGATCCCAACTCCAAGAAACAGGAAGCACCAGGAGATCTGGACGAGTGGCTGAACGACGGGTGGGACGAGGATTGGAAAGCGGAGAGCAAGCCGAGGAGTCGGAGGAAGAAGACAGGTGGTAAAGGGGACTAGTGTTTGTGTAGTGGTGTTACTGATACTTGTGTGGTGATGAGAGGGGACTCTCCGGGAATTAATTTGGGGACTGGAACTCGTCGTCTTCTTGCATGGTTATTCTAGCGCATGCTCTTTTCTCTGAGGTGGTACTTTTGTTCGTGTGACGTCACGTGACGTGTGTGATTTAGATAGCTGGTCCTTTCGATGTCTTGATTTTTATTAATGGGGTAAATTAGAGAATCGATATCTACGACTTGATTAAATTTGTAATGAATTAAATAATACTAAATTGTCTCTAGCGAACTATACTATGTCAAAATTGTTTTCAAAAATTATCGATCTTTAGCTTTTGCTATGGATTATCTTTATTTCCGTTTAAATATAATATAATGCGCTTTTTAAAATAACTGTCCTGTCTTTGATGGAATGTTTTGACCTAACAAGTTTTCTTTAAATTATTGAATGATTTCATTAGTTGTTGCAGTTATTAATTGTTTTGCCCATCAAAGTACATACAGTATACACCTTTAGGCAAACAATGCAAATTAGGTGAATCTATTTTAATTAAACGATCAATAGTTCTGATTTGAGAGCTCAGAGTTTATAGATGTTGGAGAGGGAATGCTTGTCGAATATTTAATATCCACCATTCAAACTTAACGCACTGTAAAATTCCCACGTGACTCAGGTCGTGTAAATCCGATGTATTATAGCCCAATACATAATGCTGTGAACGTTTGTGATATTGATTATTTTCAACCTGCTAATCCTTGTTTTATTGAATGTTTCCAGTGTTCTATCCGGTTTCAAAATCGTCAGTTTCCAGAAAACTTTATCCTCCAAATCTATCATATTCTGTCCACAAGATATTTCATCTTATCAATATTTGTACTTTACGACATTTTATAATGCCATGATATAATATTATAATGTATGATATTGGTACATATTACGTTGATGTGCATAATATTATTGTGTAACCTTATAAGTGGTCATAAGATAAGATTTCAGAGCAACGCCCTCGAATGAGATTGTAAAATATCGGTTTAAGTAAAATGCCCAGTATGTCACAGTTTTAGTTCATAATGTTTGTTCTGTACATCACGAACGATATCACTCAAATGGCTACTCAGCCAAATACTGTATTTACTCTTAACCATATCCTGCTGATTTAACTGCTAATGCAAATTAGCTAATTGTTTATCATAAATTAGAGTGTTTACTGTCTGTGTCATCCGCTATCTATATCATGTTTACATACCACACATTGTTTATACACATTACACATGTTAGCAGTGTCTGTGATAATATTTCCTCTTTTTTTTTCTCTAGGAAATTAATGGCTCTGTGATGATCTGCTCTGGTACTTAATGTATTAAATACATCTGCTTTGCGTGTATATACCTGTAACTAGTGTTTAGTAAGAAAGAACAATACCAATTCTGGACCATACGTTGTTTGACGTGACCTACCTATGTGACCTATGTTGAGTTTCGTCAAGACTTGACGGGGCCATCACATCTTCTGACCACCCCATAGCGAAGTAGAGTCTCGCTCGTTGCGCCAGCACAGCAGAGAGTTCGTATTTGGAGGAGTATATCCCCTGATCGGCGGCTTATCAGGGAGAGACAACATGAACTTTGTGAGCTTATCTTTGAAGTGCTCTAGATCTTGAATGACATTCAGATGGTAGGGGATTGCATTCCACAATTTAGGTCCCTGAACTGCAAATGAGTTGTCAAACAAGGTGAGGTTTGCTGTTGAACTGGTTCTACGTTTTGATGGAATTACTGCAAGGTTTCCAAGCCTTGGGCGTGAAACAAATAGAACGTTCAGATCATTGCTGGTCTTTCCGTGGAGGATTTTCCACATATGGAGAATGATGAATCGCTCCCGCCTTCGTTGAAGAGACATCAGAGATAGATAGACCAGGCGATCCCAGTAGTGGAGATCGCGCATTCCTGATATTCTGGCGGTGAATGCTTTCTGTACACTCTCCAGTTCTTGGATATCGCTGATTTTTGAGGGATGCCATAATGGACAGCAATATTCAATCAGACTTCGAACCATTGATTTGTATAGCGTCAGCATGATGGAGTGAGATCGTGTGTGAAATACACTGAGAACCCATGATGCTTTTTGGCGAGCTTTATCTGCAATGGCTCGTATGTGAGGGGACCAAGAGAGATCACTTGACACTATGACGCCTAAATCCCTGAGCTGATGTATTGGCTCAAGTATAGTGTCTTTGGAAACTGAGTATTGATAGTGTTCAACCACAAATGGAAGTTCAGATAGTACATATTGGTGGTTGAATTTATGACACATGTACTCAAATTTGTCTTTGTGAAGGGCCATATTATTTCTTTCAGACCAGTCAATGACATTTTGCAGATCTTCTTGGAGGAGCTTGACGTCATGCTCCGATTTGATAGCAATGGATATGCGAGTGTCATCAGCAAAACATCGAATTATAGAGTGCATGATACAATGTTCGATATCATTGATAAAAATCAAGAAAAGGATCGGCCCCAAAACCGTACCTTGTGGAACTCCGCTGATTATCAGTGCAAGGATGGACAGATGACCGTCAACAACAACTGCTTGTTTCCGGTCTGAGAGGAAAGATTCTATCCACTTTATGATTTTAGGATGGATTCCATAGAGTTGGAGCTTTCTCAGTAGGAGTTTGTGATCGACTTTATCGAAAGCCTTGGCATAGTCGAGGTATATTGAATCAAAATCTGAATTGTTGCTCAGAGAATCCAAAACGTCATCAAAATGGTGGAGAAGTTGAGTAAGGCAACTCCGGCCAGATCTAAATCCGTGCTGCTTACTACAGATGAGGTTATTGATCTCCAAATAGTTTACCAGCTTTTTTCTTATCACCCTCTCGTATACTTTAACCACATGAGAGGTGAGTGATATAGGTCGGTAGTTAGCTGGTTTGGCTCGACTATCCTTCTTGTGGAGAGGAAATACGTGTGAGAACTTATAGAAACTAGGGACCTCCCCAGTAACTAAAGAGCGGGACCAGATGATGTGCATTGGTTCTGCTAGGGCTTTCTTGCAGTTCTTGAGAAGGGTGACTGGAATTTCGTCAGGACCTGATGCAGCATTAGGTTTGATGTCTTCAATGGCCTTAATGATGTCGTCCACGGAGAAATTCAGCATATCGTCAGTAAAAGGATGCTTGATTGGAGGGGGACTGAAAGAAGCAGAGTCGATCCGAGTTTTCGAAGGATCACTGAATACTGATAAGAACTGATTCTGCAAGAGGTTGGCAATATCTTTTGGATTTGATTTGATGGCACCGTTTCCATCATAAAGCATGCTGATGTTGCTTTTCTTCTTCGAAAATTTCTTAGCGTAACTATAGAAATACTTGGGATTTTCTTTTACCTTGCTTACGGCTTGCTGTTCACGGTACAGGAGATCCTGGTTGATGGCATCACGAATATCCATATGAGCGAGAGCAAGTTTCCGGTTCAAAGATTCAATCTGTGTGGGAGGGCTATGGGGATTAATTTTTGCAGCCTCTAGCTGGGTTTGAAGCTTTCGTTTTCTGCGAGAGGGGATGCGCACAGATGAGCGAGTTTGGGTTTTGGGAGGGATCTTCTTCGGACAGCCAATCTGGCAGATTTGTAGAGTAATAAGAGTGAATAGCTCTGGAAAATCCTCTTTGTCGCAAAGGTTGATGAGTTGAGCCCAGTCAACAGATGAGAGCATGTCATTGATCGATGAAAAATCTGCTTTATTAAAGTCTAAGCTTCTAAACGAAGAATCAATGAAATCCGGAGGATCTGAATGAGTAGGAGAACAAGGATTGTAAGACAAAAATATCTCTACACGTCTGTGATCTGATAGTGGAGTGTCCGAAATAGAGACGTGAGAAACTAGATCCTCTGAGTTTGAAATGTACAGATCTAATACATTTCTGAGTCGGGTGGGTTCCAGCACATGTTGAGTACATAGATTCTCAGACATGAAGTCAAGTAAAAGAGCTGCACTGTAAGTTGAACATGAGGAACCACCGGGTAAGATAGAATTAGTGGACCAGCCAATGAGGGGAATATTAAAGTCTCCAAGAAGTGATAGCCGGTATTCGCCATCGCCACTGGCAATGTACTGGTCAATGAAGTCCAAACATGATTTAAAACTGGGAACTGGACACTCGGGCGGGCGATATAGAACACAAATGATTGACTTTTCAGATTCGCTGGTACACATCAAAGCCTGACAGTATCTATCATCATATGTCTGGACGTTAGTTATGGGGAGTTCATCATGTGTATAAAGTAAAACTCCACCTCCAACCCTAGCTTCTCTATCACTTCTGAACAGAGAGTAACCCGGAATTTCAAGTTGAGCATCCTCAATGTAAGACTTAAGCCATGTCTCTGTTAAGGCGATTAATGGAACGGTGTGGTTCTTGGCTTGTTCCTTTCTTAATTCGTCTTCAAGGTAAGAGGCTTTCCATCTGGAGGTGCTATGGGCGCTAGGGTTAAATGATTGAATGTTTAGCAGCCAGATGCTAGAATGTTCGACCAGTTCGCTTGGGGAGGAGGAAAACGACTCTGCGGTTGGAACTGGGGAACAGGATGTTGGAACATGATGTTCTGGCTTGGAGGACCGTGAGGGACGAACTGCCTGATGATGTGCTGGTTGGCACTGGGGAAGAGCGAGGCAATTCTGTTCTCCTGAGTCACAATACTGGATTTTATGTTTTCGATCTCTTTCTGAAAAGTGGTCTGGAAGTTCGTCAGAAGGGATCGAATCTCTAAAAAATCCTTGTTCTCATGCTGGGGTGTTGACTTAGTATGAGACTGAGAAGAAGAGCGCGTCCTTTTATTGTTGTTATTCTCTTTATTTTTCTGATCATTGGAAGCTCTGTTATCAGAGATGTCTCTTCTGTAGGAATCACGCTCCTTGGGTTTGTGTCGTTTAGTACCAACAGTGTGAACTAATAAGCATTCCTCATCGTAACAAGACTTATCAGACAAGGATGTTGGACAGTGTTGGGGATGAAAAAATTTGCATTTATCACCACGCCTACAGCCAAACTTTCTGTGGGTACTATTTTTAATGAACTTAGAGCAGCGTGGAGGGTGGAACATTTTGCATGCTGATTGATCATTACTTGGCGTTTTACCACTGACACCGTGTGGGCATTTTCCAAGTTTTAGCAAGCTACAGATCTCATCAAGCCGTAAATTGGGCAGCTGCGATTTATCGTCATTTACTGAATGTTGTTCATCTTCCTGTGATTTGACGATTGAAAGCTTTTTCTGAAGCTCATCTTGATCAAGGGAGACATGTTGTTTTTTCTGGTTCTGGGAAGATGGAGTGTTTGCACCAGATTGCTGTTTAGAGGCCAATTTACTAGGGGCCTTGGATTTCGCCTTTGACTGATTTGGTAAGTTGGTTTCATAACATGCTTTGCAAAGCCAAACAGAAGTAGCTGAAGACACACGTGGTTCAAAAGAATCACAATCATGGCAGCCTTGCAAACAAAGAAAGCAACATGCGGCAGGTTTTGTAACAGAATCAAACTGAGTCGAGTATTCGATATCACAATCCGGACAGATGGCAGGGTACAGTGACTGAATCTCGAGTATGATTCTCTTGGCAAGTGAAGGCTTATTTGAAAATATACGGTTGCCTTTAGGCTCCTCGGTTTTGATGTTGAGAAAAAGAGCACAAGCGTTCAATGTAGCTAACTGAAAACGGGGCCCACCGAGTACAGTCTGATTATCGGACACATCTTTAGACGAGTCAAAAGCAGTCAGGAGTGTTTTGGAGAGTGGATCTGCTTTACTCAAAAGATTACCAATAATAAGCCGTATCTTTTCATCGAAATTTGGAATGACAGTTGACATAGTTTACAGATTCCGTGTACTTGTATTGTGTATAGTGTGTAAAAAACCGTCGAACAATTACACGCACACAGTGATGAGCCAGTCTTATCTCAAATAGAAATATTAGATAAGAGAGCTATGCAAATGTAAACGTATTCAAAAGTGTATAACAGATAACGTCGGTATGTATAATGCAGTATAGGTCGATCTTGTGAGTTAGTAAAATGGTTGTATAAATAGTTCACGGACGTGTTTTCATGATATTAGTAGTATCTTTCGTTGGCGTGATTTCTCTGTACGTGTTTCAGTGACGTTGTCTGCTCATTTTTATATTCTATTTAGCAGTAATATTGTAAACACACACCGGTTGTACAAAGTGTACTGTATTGATGCAATGTAATTGTAGTCACATTTCTAACCAGGTTAACGCGTGGACTTGTAAACGTAATCATGAATTGTATCTGAAAACTTTGTTGTTCAGTGATTCTGTGCCTTCAGTAAATCTCATATTTTTTTCTGATCCAGTACTTTACATTTAAACTGTTATTCTCTCTCTCTCTCTATCTCTCTGACTCCGTATTCCCCTGTAACATAACCACTACTTAACCTAGAAGTTAACCTGAACTACCTGGTGTGTACAGGATGAGCGTGTTGTACAATGACTTGAAGCTCCACGTGTCACCTGGTAGTATCTCTGTTTCTGCTCAAGGTGCTCAACATGCTGTCTACATCAACACTAATACCCTCGAGGTAATAAACTCCCCCTGTTCATGTTTATCATGTGTATAATGAGATAGTGTGTGTGTTTCATGTCTGTTTGTGTCTTGAGAAGAGGTGTGTGTATGTATGTATGTATGTATGTATGTATGTATGTATGTATGTATGTATGTATGTATGTATGTATGTATGTATGTATGTATGTATGCATGTATGTATGTATGTATGTATATGTATGTATGTATGTATGTATGTATGTATGTATGTATGTATGTATGTATGTATGTATGTATGTATGTATGTATGTATGTATGTATGTATGTATGTATGTATGTATGTATGTATGTATGTATAAATGTATGTATGTATGTATGTATGTAGGAAATTTCTAAATACTTCCTGCTAAAAAATATTTCTACAAAAACATTTTTACAGGTTGGATCCGCAACCTCCAGCCCCACTACCCCTGGTCGTGACATCTGTGGAGTGTTCGGTATTATAAACCTTCCTCTCACATCCTACCTTATCATCATCACTGAAAAGGAAGAGATAGGGCCTATTGATGGACAGAGCATTGTGTGGAAGATGGCTAAGTATGAGCTGATACCGTTCGTGGAGTCGCGCAGCGCTTCTGAGAGCGTCAAAGCGCTTAATGAGAAGTACTTGGCTCTCTTGAACAAGTCTCTGTCAGCGGACTCTTTCTACTTCAGTTACACCTACGATCTGAGTCATACGATGCAGCGACTCAACAACGTGGATGAAAGTTTCAAAAGTTTAACTTTCATGGAGCGTGGTGACGAGCGCTTCATGTGGAACAGATACCTCATGTCCCAGATAGAGATCTGTCCGGAACTGTCCGGGTTTTGTTTACCAGTCGTGTACGGTGTACTCTCAATAACCACCTGCAGCCTTATGGGCAAAACCTTCGACTTTGTTCTCTTCTCCCGGCGTAACCTCAACAGGATCGGGGTGCGGTACTTTGTTCGTGGCGCTGATGACGACGGTAATGTTGCGAACAACGTGGAAACTGAACAAATTGTTCGGCACGCTGGTCAGGTGGCTTCTCATGTCAACACCCGTGGTAGTATCCCGCTGTACTGGTCCCAGCGCAGTAACATCACGTACAAACCCTACGTTAAGCTGTTCAACAAGGAGAATCAGAAGGATGTGTTTGTGAGACACATGCAGCAGCAGATTGCGCTGTACGGCAAGAATGTGTGTGTCAGTCTTATTGATGATAAGGGAAAAGAAAAGGAGATTTGTCAAAGCTTCAATTATATCGGAGGTTTGTTGGAAAGGAAATAGGAAAATGAGGTTTAATGATAATTGTTTTTTAAGGCGGACAAATCTCTACCGAGGCCTTTGGGTAGCTTGTTAAGTGTTAACTCTTGATTTTATTTCTTTATCCCATTTTAATTTACTATCATTACCAGGTCAGAATTTGCTACCAGGAGTGACATTTATCCACTTTGACTTCCACAAAGAGTGCAGTAAGATGAGATGGTACAACCTCAACATTCTCATGGACAAGCTCAAAGACGACCTGGATAGTTGGAGTTATTTCTCCAAAGATAACCAGGGTACTTATTATTGCTCTGTTAAAAAATTTCAATGAGTCGAATGATCTAAGATTATTAACGTCAGTAAAACTTGCTGTTTAAATTAATATTCTCCGCCTTGACCAGAATCACGTGGTTAGTAACGTTATACGTAGTACCACGTGATCAGTGATCTAATACTCAGGTAGCGTATCGTCAACACAGAGTGGAGTTGTAAGAACAAACTGTATAGACTGTCTGGACAGAACCAACGTGGTACAGGGTATGATAGGTCGTTACATTCTCACTCAGCAGCTCAGACAGATGGGGGTTCTGGGAGAGGGTGACGAGATTCCTGCTTCTTCTCAATTCGAGTTAGATTTCTTGATTATATCTATATATTTTGTTGAAAACTATATTAATTTCTTGTCAGCTGAATGTGTGACTGCTATTGTATCCTTTTAGACTTGTTTGCCACCTGTCTTCATGTCTTGTCTAGCATTGTAAACACAAACAAGGTCGTAAGTACAATGAGATTGCCACGTGTTATTGACTAACCATGTCCAGGTATGTGTTTAAGAACAGATGGGCTGATAACGGGGACGGTATAGCCCGCCAGTACACCGGAACACCCGCTTTAAAGAGCGACTACACCAGGACCGGGGTCAGGACCAAGATGGGACTCCTACAGGACGGCTACAAGAGTATGCAACGGTTAGTGGGCCTGGAGCTGTTCAACATTTTGTCAACATTTGGTCAACATTATAACTACTCCGTTAAAAAGTTGTCGGATGTTTTATCTCCATATTAGTAAAGATTGGATAATTTACTCTCTTATAACTTGATTAGTCACATTACAGCGTATAAACCATTTCATGAGAGGAGGTATGTGAAACCTTACGAAATGAACACGAAAACTGAGATTATCTGATTATCTGATATGATACCAGAATCTGACACTCCAAAACGAGTAGATATGAGTAGTAACCACATGAGTGGTAACCACATGAGTAGTAACCAATAGTAACCAGTCTTAACTACCTTCTAGATACGTACAAAACAACTTCCTGGACGGTTCAAGGCAGGACAGTTACGATATTCTGTTGGGTAACCACCGTTACTCTTCCGTTGAGGAGTCTCCACTCGCAAAACCAAGGCACCCTGTTGCCATCTTCCTGCCAGCTGCTATCGGAATATTCATTGCTCTTCTTATTCTGAAGGTTTACAAACTTGTTTTTGTTATTATTATTGCGTAAATTTAGATGCACTCCATTTTTAACTGGCAAATATGCACAGTCTAAGATATTCGTTGAATCCTCATTCTAAATTTCAGCTGTTACTGCCGGAGGAAACATGGACATCCCAGCTAACACACATTGGTCTTTATGTTGCGGTTATATTCTTCTTGTTCAAACAGGTGAGAGCTTCTAAACTTGGTTATATTGTAATCTGATTTACAGTGTTTACAAATAAGATAAATTATCATGTAAGCAATTCTTTAAGAACATTGATTAGACTCCAACCTCCAAGTAATGGTCAAGGTTATGGTCACAAAATTACCAGCAACTAATTATTAATTATTACTAATTATTACTAATTACAAGGTAAAAGCATGGGGAGACCACCTAGTGGACCAGCCTCGCCTGTATCACACTTTAGCCAAAGCTAAAGCTGAATGACTGGAGCCAATCGATACACTTATAGTTTAGGGAACCTGACGAGCGTGATATCTACTGATATATTGGAATGTTGGGAATGCCAAGCATGAAAATTGTTTTTTTGTGTTGGACTATTATATGAGGTCTGTTAGATTTTGGTTCTGTTTCGAACCGGTGGGAATCGTTTATTTTTACGTTTAATTGTTTCAATTGTGACAAACCTATTAACTGTCTTCTTCAGCAAGCAACTAATTAATACAAAGTTCATTAACTGGATGTTTAAAACTGTACGATCCTTAATGATTTTATTGTGTCTTTTGATAAATCTGATAAGCAATTTTACGCAGAAGTTTCGACCACAATTTAAGCTTCAGTGTAAGTTTAACAACAAGTCTGTTAAACTTTTTATAATGCGATATATTTTGATTGCATAATATGCGGGGTGGCACAGAAATTTCCAGATTTTTGATGTAACAGATCACGTACGAAGCGAACTGCTAGTTCGATTGAGATAAAACTCTGGGCCTTTTGAATGCGTTTACGATTGAAGTTAAAGAACTCGAACTTTGCCCTTCTCCACGAAAGTGCAACCATGAAAATCATGATTTCATTAGATCAGTTGGGTCTAAGATTGACGTTTGATAGTTATTTAGCCCAAATCTGAACACTGGTATCAAATGCTTCGTACATGGTTGCTTGTTAGACACGAAAATGTAGATTATAGATCAGTGATTCTCTAGACTTAAATGAAGATCTGTAAGTGTGTCGATTAGAGTAATTTTTATAGATTTTTGTTATCTGATTTTTCGAAATGATTTTCAATATTTTAATAGGTAAGACACGGTTTATGTGCTATCTCAAATATTGTCTTTTACTCATTATTTTGAACTGAAGAATGTCCAACTGATATGTACACGACTGTATTATTACGTTTTCATTTTTATCGTCACCAGATAAAGGCCCCATTTCTCCATTTGCTAGTACCAAGCAGACTTAAAATGTCAGCGGCGAACGCCATTCGTCTTGGATAAGAGTTTTCTGCGCTTGCGCGTTAATTAATGTGTGCGCGCAGATGAGGTGTAACATCAATTGGACGATACCAGGTACGTTGTCTTGTCTATTTATTACTCAAAGCGTACGTCATTGCTTAATACCGTGACGTTGTTTGATAGGTGATCCCAGTAGTTTCATGTTACATTGAGGTGTCACCTTCAATCTAATTTGGGACTGCTTGCCCATTCATTAGGAAACGTGTGGTATCAACTATCATCAATACAACCAACTTAACTAGTCGATTCAACGGAGAACGTGATCGACTAATGTCAATGAGCCAATATATATTATAGGTATATTGTACATCCATTTTCACCCATTTCGAAACGTTCAAACATTTTACAAATTTGTTTCAGTATAACACAATTGTTTGTGAAATTTAAAGTTAAATAAAAGGACTAAAATCTGCCAGAGTGAAACTTTGACAATACAAGAACTAACAGTGGCAATTGCAAATTGGCAATGGCAATGCCAGTTCGCGGAATTGGGAATCCTGTCATGTTTAATTTCGTGGAATTTTACATTTTTAAACGCCTAGATTACATGTAAATTTTTGGGATATTGATTTATTTAGAAGGAACTTTCAACTTTGTGGAGCAAAAATTGCTTCTCGTAATGACGGCAGAGGAAATAACACTACTATTAGTTTACTGGGCCGCGCTCAGCCTGTCATTCCGCCTAATCTCTATGTTTATGAACATAATAGCCTGAGGTCCCCAGGTAAGGTAACTATTAGTTTGTAGGTTTACAACCTACCAGGACGCGCGCCGAGCTGGACTCGTCGACGGAATTGTAGGTTTACAACCTACCAGGACGCGCGCCGAGTTGGACTCGTCGACGGTCCCAATATATGGAACAGATATTTTACGAGTATCACCCGTTAACGACGGAACAGATATTTTACATTTTACGAGTATCACCCGTTAACTATTAGTGATTAGGGGCCATCTACTTAGGACGTCCGGCAAATACAAAATAGGGAGGGGGTAGTTTTGGAATTAGTAGAGGCTCTTACGGGCAAATATCGCACTTTTCTGCTCGAGCCCTGAGACTTCATTTAGGGTTCTTATATAATAGAATGGAGTGTACTGAACACTCTGACGGTATCGGAAACCTTCTAGAGCCTTCAGAAGCTGTGTTGTGAGCACTTTACTGCCAAAACTTCGGACATCTACAGACACCGGAATATCGACTAAAAATTTTTTCTGAGTTGTTCCCCTAATTTCTCTTAGGTTGCTTAAGCCCCAGAAAGTGTCAGATCGTCTAAATATTGCTCCATTCCGGTGTTAGAGACCTCGAAAATTTCGACCTCGTAGAACGTGTTGCGCGTCGTATGTAGTGTTTACAATGAAAAAAGTGCACTTAAATCTGATTCGGTTGCGGCGCGTGACGTATCTAGCACGATATTTGCTCAAACGCGCGTCACTGCGCCAGAAACCTCGTGGTACCGTAATACTGTAGAAATAGATAATCACAAGAGACACAATAAAAGTATCATCACTATGCAAAGTTAATGTTAAAATGATACAATAGCCCTGCTTTAACAGATTAATCCACATAAACACTATATTTCTACAGATGCCACCGATCAGTAAATCAAACATAGCTGATAGAATTCGTTTCTACATTGAAAGATTTCTTTTCTAATCTCCTTTATGAGTGCTGTCTTTGTTAAAGTGTTATCATCTCTATCCGCATCTATTGTTGCGGCAAGATTAGATACGATCCTGCTGTCGAAACAAACTCGTCTTACCGACATTGTCTTTCTGAAAACTGATGTGATCAGATTAAACATTGCTGGAGTTTGCAGCGTTCTCAGATAAATTAGACGTCACATAGTCATTGTACTTAAGCTTCGGGTCAGACACGAGGTACAGTTCTGGTAAAACATTCTCCTGCTCCAGTTAAAAGGTCCGTACAGCGTCAATACCTGCACTCATTAATGCAGCATTGGTGTTGTCGTGCGTGGACACGTGTCTTTCCATTTTAAAACCTGCCTTAAAGACAGGTTTTAAACTTACAGCTTCAGATAATTTACCCTTCAATTGTTTCACCCTCGAGTTGCTGTACCTCAAACGACATGTTTTGTGATATCTACCTAGCTTGCTATAGAGATATTTTCCGAGACTCTCAGGGTTAAGAACAGGGCACTTGGTCATGTGCGAATCAGGATTAACATCGATGTTGCACAGATCCTGACGATTTCTGTAGATGTCCACAGATAGTATGTTGCGAAATCGACGAAGAAACTTTTATCTTTTCCTTGAATCAGACTATCCTTTTTCGTTTCTAACGTCTAGGGAAATTCGTATTGTTAAAGAAGAATAACCTCCCATACTCTTAAAATTAAATCGAGATAATATGTATAATAATTATATTTGCGAGCAAAAGTTTCACACAAACCTGTTCAACCTGGCATATGAAACACAAGTCTCAGTCCATTTCAAACAAATCAACATCTGGTCCACTTGATTGGGAACTAAATGAAGAAAGTCTCCACATTTTCTTAGTTCTATTCGAGGAGGGTGACAAAGGCGGGACTTTTTCCACTTGGATGGCAATAGCTTCTTCAATCTTCATCACAAGAGGATTCGTCAATTTCAGAAACAGCACTGTACACCTGCAAATACTTTATTACTTCCCACATTTATATCAACAGTATCATATCACATAAGTTTGAGATCGTACAAGTGTTATATCGGGGGGGGGGGGGGGGTGTCACGTCCGTCTATGTCCGCTTGTCTCATAGAATCCAAAAAGGACAGGACATAGGCGGACATAGGCGGACATAGGTGGACATAGGCGGACATAGGCGGACATAGACGGACATAGGCGGACATAGGCGGACATTAATGGACACATAAATTGCTAAATAAAATGTTCAATTTTTGCTGTTATAGGGGGGATCATGTTTTTTGTCCGTTCGGTACCCTATATTTTCAAAACGGACAAAAAATAGAGCGGACAAAAACGGACAAAAATGGACAAAAACGGACAAAAATGGAAATAACATTTAGATGCTTCCTCCTCCTACTCTTCCTCCTCCTCCCCCTGGGTCTTCCTGATCTTCCTCAGTCCTCTTCCTCCTCCCCTCCTCAGTCCTCCTCCTACTCCTCCTCCTCGTCCTCAGTCCTCCTCATCAGTCCTCAACAGTCCTCCTCCTCCCCAGTCCTCCTCCTCCTCCTGAGTCCTCCTCCTGGGTCCTCCTCCTGGGTCCTCCTTCTCCTCTTCATCCTCCTCCTCTTCCTCCTCAGTCCTCCTCCTCATCCTTCTCCTCAGTCCTCCATCCTTCTCCTCAGTCCTCCATCCTCCTCCTCAGTCCTCTCCCAGTCCCCCTCCTCCTCCTCCTATTCAGTCCTCCTCCTCCTCCTTCTCAGTCCTCCTCAGTCCTCCTCCTCCTCCTCCTCCTCTTCCCTCTCAGTCATCTTCCTCAGCCATCCTCCTCAGTCCTCCTCAGTCCTCCTCAGTCCTCCTCCTCCTGGGTCCTCCTCCTCCTCTTCATCCTCCTCCTCTTCCTCCTCGGTCCTCAGTCCTCCTCCTCCTGGGTCCTCCTCCTCATCCTTCTCATCAGTCCTCCTCCTCCCCAGTCCTCTCCCAGTCCCCCTCCTTCTCCTCCTCCTATTCAGTCCTCCTCCTCCTCCTCCTCAGTTCTCCTTCTCATTTCTCCTAAGTCCTCCTCCTGAGTCCTCCTCCTCTTCCTTCTGAGTCCTCCTCCTGAGTCCTCCTCCTCCTCCCTCTCAGTCATCCTCCTCAGTCATCCTCCTCAGTACTCCTCAGTCCTCCTCCTTCTCAGTCATCGTCAGTCCTCCTCCTCAGTCCTCCTCAGTCCTCCTCCTCCTCCTGGGTCCTCCTCCTCCTCCTCCTCCTGGGTCCTCCTCCTCCTCCTCCTCCTGGGTCCTCCTGGGTCTTCCTGATCCTCCCCAGTCTTCTTCCTCCTCCCCTCCTCAGTCCTCCTCCTACTCTTCCTCCTCGTCCTCAGTCCTCCTCATCAGTCCTCAACAGTTCTCCTCCTCCCCAGTCCTCCTCCTCCTCCTGGGGCCTTTTCCTGGGTCCTCCTCCCCAGTCCTCCTCCTCCTGGGTCCTCCTCCTCCTGGGTCCTCCTTCTCCTCCTCAGTCCTTCTCCTCCTCCTCCTCAGTCCTCTTCCTCCTCTTCCTCCTCCCTCTCAGTCATCCTCCTCAGCCATCCTCCTCAGCCATCCTCCTCAGTCCTCCTCCTTCTCAGTCCTCCTCCTGAGTCCTCCTCCTCCTGAGTCATCCTCCTCAGTTCTCCTCCTCCTCCTCCTGGGTCTTCCTGATCCTTCTCCTCCCTCTCAGTCATCCTCCTCAGCCATCCTCCTCAGCCATCCTTCTCAGTACTCTTGAGTACTCTTCAGTCCTCAAAATGTTTGTCCGCTAATGTCCACCAATGTCCGCTAATGTCCACCAATGTCCATCCAAGTCCGCCAATGTCCGTCCGGGTCCGCCAATGTCCGTCCGAGTCCGCCAATGTCCGTCCGAGTCCGCCAATGTCCGTCCGTGTCCGCCAATGTCCCAAAAAACACGTCCGTTGTCTCATAGAATCCAAAAAGGACAGGACATAGGCGGACATAGACGGACATGACACCCCCCCTATATCATTTTAAAAGTTTGCAAATCCGATAGAAATGGATTAAAAATTACTACTCGCTGTCTATTTACCTTTGAATAATAATGTTTTTAAATGTTAGTAAAACAGGAGGAAACCACTCACCCTGTTATAGTTGTCTTTTACATAGTTAAGACACTGAATACACAAAAAAGAGGTTTGCTTTGGTGAGCACAACCCAGGATTGATCTTCTGCAGCAGGGCGAGGAATTTTCTAGACTGTTTTGTCATTCGTTCACTTTCAGAGCGGAAGAAAACTGTTCCATTAAAATCCTTTATTTCTATTCGGGTACAGATACAGCACTCTAAAAATTGATGAATGGTCACATTTTTGTATACCCTACGGCAAAGTCTTATGTCTGTGGTAAAAGAATGATATTCTTTAAATAGTTTTTCATTAAAGCCTAAGCTTAACTTCTACCAATTCAAAATTGTTTACGTCGGTCTCCCCTCCTTGAGCCACTTTTCACACCGCTATTGAGTATAAATCACTCTAGCACAAGCGATTTCAAACCCCCTCCCCTAGGCTGGATTAGGTTATATGTGAACTGTGCTCTAGTGCATGACTGACTTTACATAATGCAGAGCATGCAAAGTTTTGATGTTTCATAAACTTATGAATAAAGTTTTAAAAATCGTGACATAAAAAGCAGTGGTCGCCCGGTGCCCCGGCCAAAATCACAACCCCCAGCTCTTCCCGGCCCCGGCCAAAAATTGGCAATTCGCCGGGGGTAAACCCCGGCCCCGGCCAATTCTCAGTGGTCAGCCCCGGCCATATTGGGGCTCCCCGGCCCCGGTCAGAATCCTGCCCCCGTTCGACCACTGATAAAAAGTTAACTCACTGGATTTGTCCAAAAGCGAGAGAAAGTACTGAGAAAGCACTTATACGTCACCACCAGAGGGCCTAGAGAGGTTATCTTTGTCTGTTTAATTGAATATTGAGTATATAATATGAGATTTAAGATGAACATGATAGATATAACGTCCAAATTCTAAAGTTCCACCAAAATTGAGTCACATTAAACTTGGTTAACACAACAATTTTAGTTCTTCATTATAGTAGGTGATTTGACATAATGAAGTGTAGACTAAATTATTATTTATAATAATTACCTGTCGGAGGGATTTAAGTGTTCCTTTGAACAGTCCTTTTCTGGAAGGTTGAGAGCTTTCCATACATCCAGAGAGCCAAATTGGATTTGTCCTTCTTTCGGGCATATGCAATCTTTGATATGATGCCTTGTACATTTTGAAACCCTGCAGTTATCATTATTCAATACTTATAGAGCCTATAAGGGGTTAGGGGTCGTTCACATAATATTGTGTAATTGCAATATAGTTACTGTACATTTCCAACCCTTTGTCATGTATATCACAACAGATGATGTTAAAAGCATAATAATATTATGATACAGTTTTACAGTTTTTGTTACGTGTTGATAATCTAGCTCTTATCTCTATTTTATCGCTACATTACAACTGCCATTTTGCTGGTACTGTGTTTTTTACTTTATACAAGTACAAGTAAACGATGGAGGAAATGAATACTCTTCAAAGATTGTCAGTTTATTCTACCTACATTACTGAAGAGTATGAGGTCTATAACGGTTGGATCACTGAACTCGCGGAAGCTACGAACTGTTAGTGACAATAAATCTGAGTTTTCAGTTGAAACGTTCAAAAAGCCAGTGAAGTCAGTTTCAGTAAAACATTTGTATTTTGTATTCTGCGTATCAGACTACCGATAATCATGTAAGTACGTTTCTGGATAGCAAGAAAGATATGGAGGAGTTGAAGAGCGATATTATCCGATCGCAAAGTACTGTTATCAAGCTGCAGGCTGAACTTCTGGAAGCAGTTGGAATCTGTGCACTCCACCGTCAAGACCGCCGTTCAAGACACTGTCCAAGCTGAGATGAAGTCATACAGTCAAGCTGTGGCCTGTGACTAAAAATGCACCTGTGCTTGCAGAAGAGAGTTTAAAAAAGGTTGTACAGAATGCTGTATCGGAAGAGGATCGCAGTAGGAATGTGCTCATCTTTGGTTTGAAGGAGACTGATGAAGAGGAACTGTGCAATAAAGTTACCGTGATTTTTCAGCAGATTGAAGAAAAACCACGTTTTGAAGCTATCTGGGTTGGGAGAAAATCAGCCAACAAGACGAGACCAGTCAAAGTTTCGCTAGGTAATTCTAACTTACCGTTCATCAGATATTAGTAAATGCCAAAAAGCCGAGACTGTGTGAAGATCATAAGACTGTTTTCATCTCTCCAGATCGATCACCTGAAGATCGAGCTACCCATCAGCGGTTGGTCTTGGAAATGAAACAGATAGCCAAAGCAGTGCGCACCCACCCAAAAGATGTTGCACCCACCCAAACGATTTGAAAATGTTCACACAAAAATTGTCAAATTTTGTATAAACTAAGGGTCAATTGACTTCTGTAATCAATTGAGACTGTTTTGGAGATATTAAAATACGTTTAGGAGAGTAAAATTCCAAAATTTTCCAGGGGGGCTTCACACCCCCCCCCCCCCCCCCCCCCCGCCGTGCGCCAAGCTGCACCCACCCAAAGATTTTGAGCTGGAGCCATGCCTGAGCCAAAGAAGACACAAAAAAAAACATTATTATATCAGAAGTGGTAATATTTGTAGTGAGGAGAAGATGTCAGAGAGTGATACATAATAATGAGTGATATACATCCATAAGTTTTTAATTTTGATTGTTGTTATAAGCGGGATAAAAATAATTTATTTCATTTGTATTGGACGGGACATACACAAAGATGCTACGCATGGTGCTGGGTATCTCATGGAAGGACAAGGTCAGCAATATAACTTTGTATGGTAGTCTACCAAGGCTGTCAAACAAGTTACAAAGCAGGAGACTAAAAATGGCGGGACATTGCATCAGACATCCTGAGCTACTTGCCAGTGATTTAGTCTTATGGAAACCTATGCATGGTAGAGCACAGCAAGGCCGACCAAGACAAAGCTACTTGTCTATGTTACTGAAGGAAATTGGGACAAACTCAAAAGAGGAACTGTGAACCCTGATGCGGGACAGGGATATATGGAGGGGGTTATCTGGCGTAGATCGGACTTAGTTCCGACAAAGTAGTAGGTATTATTTCATTTCATTTCATTAATAACCTGCATAGTTGAAAAGTTGATTGATGTAGTTTCGATAAACAGGGCGTCGTTCAACTCCACTCATTTCGTTCCAAGCTGGAATGTAGTATTGTTTAGTGTAGGTTTGTTCATGTACCTCTCATCATCAAAAGGTTTCAACTTATACAGCATCGATAACATCATCTAAAAAAGCTGTTTGAACAGCTTAAGATTCAGTTAAAATTACATTATTCAGATACAGTTTGCGAAATGAAACATTGTCAGCCTGTATTCAATTAATTATAATAATTATGGTAATTTAGCTAAAAATCAAACCATTTGAGTTTTCATTATTATTAAAATAATGTCGATCTAAATTCTTCTTAATCTGCATGGCTGTGAGCGGATTGAAGTCTTTTAACAAACCACACAAGCTTCTTTCATCAAGAAGATTCTTGAAGTGATCCGCATGTACACAGAGAACTGTCTTAGCTAGTTCTGGGTCCATAAACATGTCACCTTCTTTCTAATGGTGATTGTCAAGTTTGTTCAGCAACATAATTCAGAATTACAGAAATTATTTGAATCTACTAGAGATGAAATGGCTTAAATAACTTGGCAATAGATGTAACTAAACAATACATATTGTAGTTTGACTACTTCTTTGAAACAATCAAAGAACGGGGGAGCTAAGGGAATGATTGCTCAAAACGAATGATATCTTCATGAATTCAATGCAGCATCTATACATTTATTCGAAATTAGTGATGGATGAGGGGGTTTAAGTCAGGCATTCCAGACATTTACTCTACTACTATTTATAAATTCAAAATCATGTTAAGAAGATAGCAGCAACTAATCTATATTATTCACCGTGCTCTATTTTATGTGTACTGAAGAGTGCCTTTACAATATTCCACTTTGTGGTGTAGATTTCCTCCATATCCAACAGGCAACACTGAATGAGTGATGGATGAGGGGGTTTAAATCAGGTGTTCCTGACATGTATTCAAAATTGCATTGAGAAGATAGCAGTAACTAATCTATATTATTTACAGTGCTCTATTTATGTACTGAAGGGTACCTTTACAATATTTCAGTTTGTGGTAGGGTTCCTCCACATCCAACAGGTAACACGGAATGAGTGATGGATGAGGGGGTTCAAGTCAGGCATTCCTGTCAAAAGATCTATAATTAATCTTGTAAGGGTACCACACAGTAGACATTATATTGTTGATTGTGAACCAAAAGTTTATTCATACCCACAATCGACAAATTATAAATCAAAATAGTGATATAAGCAATGCAATACTAAATTTGTGAAATTGTATTAACAAAAGGATATCAGCCAAGTAAAGGTATCTCAACAATATAACATTGAAGTATTAGAAATGTGAAATGGCACTCTACTATTATAAAACACTTTACTGTACTGTATTAAACAATATTAAATGAAATTAAGCCAGAGAAGGCATGAACTTCAGAAAAGGACAAAACACTAACGGTACAAAAACTTAAATGAGTTTCAGGGAAGGGTTACTAAAATTTTACGGTAGCGCTCGATTTTATTCAAAAATTTTCAAAGTGCTCAGCACCACGAAAAATATAATTTTTTCTTCCGCTTTCAAAACTTGTTTTGACGCTAAAAAACTATCAAATAGTATTATTGAACAGTATTAAAACACTTTGTGGGCAAAAATATTTCATTGTGGGTGCATAAAGAGCCGAAAAAATTTAGCGCGCAAAAAAACAGTTTTTTTGGAGGTTTTTTAAATTTTGACCGGGTTAACTCTTGTGTGTGCTTATTATATTGGTATTAGCTAGTGCGGCAAATAAAAATGTACAAGAAACCAAAATATCTAAGCTTTTCCATTGAATTAACCTGTCGAAATTTCTAAAAAACCTCAAAAAATGGCCATTTTTGGGGCCAAAAATCGGTTTTTTTCAAAATAAAACCGGGTTAACCCCATTTTCAACACTTCCCACTATCACCAATCGATTCAGGGGTCAAAAATACGTCTTTTAAAACATGTCTGATGACTCTGGTGTATCGAGCAGAAAATCCCCGTAACAGCTCCTACTAAATTTCGGAAAGGAGTGGTTTTTGAAGGATGATGATTAATCACTCTACACTTGACTGTCACGTGACTTTTTCTACTCGTTCTCTAGCTGGTCCTGAACGACTATTCGAAACCCTAACCCTCTTATCTGATCCCAACCCTAACCCTAACCCAATCCTTAATAAAAGCATATGCTGAAACCCGAACCCTAACGAGAAATTGGACTAACTTCCTTATACGGTCATATCACGTGATCGAGACAGTTTTTCGCCAATATCTCGTCAGGGGAGCATTTTAACCCTATGTCATAGGGGGTGATTCGGAATCAGCGTCCGAAAATACATCGATTGAAGTTGGTTTCAACTGTCGGGGGCCCTTTTAGAACAATCTCGAAGATCGACTGTAGAGTGATTTAGCACGCTCGGTTTTTGAAAATCCGGACAAAATTTTGGCAGAATTAGCGAAAAAGTCCCATTTATTTCAACTCTTTGACACTAAGTTGTAAGTTTAGATCCCTGTATTTTGAACGAGTACTTAAATGTAACTGTGCTAAACTTGTTCGACACTATTAATGTATTATCGTCTATTTTAAGTAACTACACATTTTATTTACTATGAATTTGAGGTGTATTGGTTTTATTTGAAGGTGGTTTTGAAAGTTCAGACTCACCCGGGCAGGGGGAGGGGGTGATACAAGGCTGTTACCCACCTTAGACATCATTTCGCCCGCCCGAAATATATCACATGACTTGGATTAACTACCAAGACACGGGCAGATTTAGAATCAGCGTTCAAAAATACATAGATTCGACTTACTCTTTTTTATAGTTACAACTAGAAGAATCTCGAAGTTAGTGATTTTGCACGCTCGTAAGTTCTCTAGATGGCTCTGACGGACTATTTGAAAACCCTATACTCTGACTCCTAGGTCGAGGGGCAGGTTGGTCCGATACTACAACAATCCACCGTTTATATAATAACAATGGTCCATTGACGACCATGTGTCACACTCTTAGTCTTAAGAATGCCACCGGTCTCGTCAGAATGTTTCAGAATATTCTCCTCTTTGTAAATTGAATACAGATAAGCACACAGCAGAGGGATGGCTTCATAGAAAAATGATAATTCGGTTCAGACCACATTTCGACAGGACAGGTAGCATGCCACTTAATCTTACTTTGTCAGTATCAGAATCAGGAGGAAGTAGACCCCATGAGCATTGTGAATATTTTCAGCCTGTGATTTGATTGTGCCTTGTTCAACATAATATTACCATCGATTGAAATGGGCAACAGCCCTCCGCCCAGGTAAAATTAGAATTCAACAAATGAAACGATCATTTCGAATAATTAAAATACAAAATTCAATAAAATTAAGCAGATGAAGTAGAGGTTCTGTTGCTTGATCGGCGACGGGAGAGGAGAGCCTGTCGTTTCTCCCTCAGTCTCTGGGCGATCAGTTTGGCGAATTCGGCAGCCTGGACCTTGTTCTTCTCTGTCCTCTGTTTCTTGAGGGCCAGTACCTTCCTCTTGCGCTGAAATAGGTTTAGTGTGAGCATTTCGACAAAAAGTTGATGGGAAAACAATTTTTGCCATTTATCAACCGTTCCATCAGGTTCACTACTTTTAAACCTCTGCTCAATTCTTTAGGTGCAAATTTCACTGCTTATTACATCGAATATTCCACAACAGCAACAGAAATATTGACAATTTGATTACCTGAATTCTGGCGGGAGTGACAAGTCGCTGGATCTTGGGTGCCTTGGATCTGGCTTTCTTTCCGTCCTTCTCTGGGAGTGGTCTGTGAACAACATACTGTCGAACGTCATCCTCCTTGCTCAGGTTGAACAATTTCCTGATCTTTCCAACTCTCTTGGGTCCAAGACGACGGGGTGCGGTGACATCGGTAAGTCCGGGGATTTCTCCATCTCCCTTCCTCATGATAACGAGGTCCAAAACACTGAAATAAAATACAATGATGATTCCCACCTCTCAAAAATATCCATATTTATATCATGGAAGGTAACTAACTGTACTGAATGAGAAGCAACGTAGATTAGAGAGTGAAATTGTTGTCTCAATCTTACCTGAGCTGAGAGTCTACGATGCATCCTCTGACGGACTTCCTCTTGCGGACACCGGATCGTCGGAGTCTGTAGTTAGGCATACCATCCTTGAATAAAAGCCTGACACGAGTGTTGGTCAGCACACCCTGCATCATGCAGAATCCTTGCAGATCATTACCTCCGGATATCTTCAGGATATATCCCTGAAAATTAATACTGATTAGATAATGTCTATTTCAAAGGAGCGGTAAAGTAACCATAAGTTATAAGCAGAACATCCGCCCATTGATCAATTTCGATCAGCTGGTGGATGGCTCGAACGCGCGCGCGCGTTAAATTTGTCTTGTGAGTGCTAACTGCGTTTATACTTTCTCAAAGGAGACATTATCGCGGTTGACGTTTTCAGCGGGAGAATCGGTGCTTCTTAGGGCCAGCTAGGAACGGCCGGGTAAAAGAGTTCGATCAATCAGGGTTAAATTTAAGAAAGGATATCCTAGAGCTTTATCATCACATATGTATGGAATATTATATCAATTTCAAATCATAATGGAAGTGTAACTTAGTAGCACCGAATAGAAAGACCCATAGTCACGATATCAGAAGGAATTTTTGATTCTATACCGTAATTAAGTATTGCCTCTGATGGTATGCACCCTAGTCCCTGAGCTAACCTATGTTAGCAAAGCTTTTGATAAATGTTTTTGTGGTATTAGTTTTATCCAACTGAGCAAACCACCGCCGATTCTTGGTGGGAAGTTTAACACTTGAGCCCAGTACCTAAGTTGGGTGCCCAATACTTGTAGGTAGGGAGAATGAATCGAAGCAAGTACAGTGGTACTTATTGTAGAACAATTAATTGTGATTAGTCTAGGTCCTCTAAGAATTAGCAAGTTTTATTCAGTTTCTACTAAACTGCCATGGTTCATTGTCATCCAACATGAAACTATAGGACTCCAGGAAATTGTGACTAATCAAACTGATCTAAGACCACACATTCAGTTACTACCATGACTTGTGAATATGCCCGTTTATAAAATCACAGCGATACAGAAGAGGGCCTAAAAGTAATAGCAACCACCAGCATACAAGCCCTCAATAATCGACTAGATCGGGACTACCGTAGAATTAGATTGTATTACAATTGTTCAGAAGTAATGAAATAATTTCAGAACCTCGCGTAAATTGTAATGTTATGTTGGGTGTACTGAACAGATACAAGCTATATTGCTAGCATCATGCCTGAGACACCCATTGCTTATTTAGTTTTGCCATGCATGTGTTACAATCATTATCTACTTGTGTTTTACTTAATACTTAACTTCCACAATGCCTTGGTCATGTTAAAATCACTTTATACAATTAGTAAATTTCCTTTTAAAATTTTATGACTATTGAAGTGAAGACGGTAAGGATCAAGACTCAGGGGCCTTATAGTTTCAGTGAATTGGTGAGCCGAGTTAACCAAATACACCTTCAATAAGGCAATGACAGAGCTTAGTTTTAGACAAAATACACCACTGTATAGAAGCGTCAATTCTAGTGTATGAAACTATAATCGTTGATGATTGTTTCAAAGGAAAAATGTAAAGATAAAACCAACCTTCCATTCGTCTCCGAGCCTATCAGCTGGTACTTCCTGTCCGATCCTCTTGTCGTAGAACACAGACCTGTAACATTACACTTTATCAGGGGTGTAAGATAGTTCTATCAGAAACGTGTTGCAGTGCTTATCTGTCCACGTCTCCATTTACTTCAGGGTTACTGAAGTCTTCACTAGGTTTGGAACACTAGCGGGAAGTCAGGATTGACACTATCCAGGAACACTTGTTCCAGTTGGACAACAGAATATGTCGTGACTGTGCCCTTCTGTTATGGACCTGTCAGTCTTTTCCATGCTAATGACTACTGATACGGCAATTTTTAGATGGTTTCGATTTATAAACAAGCTCTGAATTGCATGCACTAACTTTCATGGAAAACAGTGAAGTTACGATGTATTTCTACAGCACAGGGGAGGAACTTCTTAAGTAGTGGCCTTACTAAGGTGCCATTATTTATGAGTCTCAATAATTTTTTAAGATATCTAGTCTAACGACAGTGTGTTAAATAGAAAATTGTATTACAATTGTTCAGAAGTAATGAAATAATTTCAGAACCTCGCGTAAAGAGTAATGTTATGTTGGGTGTACTGAACAGATACAAGCCATATTGCTAGCATCATGCCTGAGACACCCAAGAATTTAATAAATTATGGCGAGTACAGTAACTATTCGCCGGGCATATTAGATGTAGATTTCCTTATGGTGAGATAATTTGTGTTTAATATTCATAGGAATAATAGAAACCTTTACTTGTATATGACATTCGCCCACAATTACAGAGACATAAGATCGCAAGCTTACTCGATAAGAATAACCTATTAGTGGCGAAAGGTTGAATACTATGCAGTACGCTCATGATATTGTTTAATTTAACCTTGGGCTCATGCTTAAACCTCTAATGTATTTCACTTCTTAAACAAGAGTGGTTGAAGTAGACTATACGTGTGCTCATAGTTTAATATCGATAACTGTGGCTCAAGAGTATATTATCAGAGGAACGATTGTGAAAATATATCATTAGAGGTTGTGGTTGTAATAGTTAAAATGGTTGCTTGATAAGGTCCTCTTCACAAGAAACATCCGCTGTGGAAAGCAATCCTTTGCGTCGCAGAGAGGGATTACCGAATTTTGATGAGCATAGACGAGACTTTATATCATTTTTGGATCTGCTTCGACTGCCCGAAAGATTTATCACAATATTTGTTAGTTATCAAGTAACGTCGGAAACATTGCGATTGGTCTACCAGTTAGTTGGAAGTAAGATATTTCCCAAATCAGAGCCAAGAATAGACTTAGATTCTATAATGAAGTTTAAGTGTAATCACCAGCCTAGCTATTAATTGCACAAATGTAACTGGGGGGGGGGGGGGGGGGCCAACCATATTAAAGTATATTAAAATGTAGGATTTTTCCCGATTTTGACCCGGGGATATACTTTAATATACTTTAATATGGTTGGCCCCCCCCCCCCCCCCCTGTAACTATTATTTAAGGATCAGATTAAATAACTCACAAGATCTTTTCGTCATCTATCTTCAGGAGCTTCTGGCAGCCAGTGGCTGGGTAGGCAATGTTCAACTGAAATAAAGCAATTCAGTCGAAATGATGGCGATAGTTAAGAATGGATGTACTGAAATAGTGAGAATGGACAGTAAGATGAAAGATGGCTAGTGATAGATGGATAACATGTGATTAGTTTCTCATTGAAATAGATGTCAGTCTCATCCGTGGTAAACGGGAGGGGCATGAATGATTAAATAGGGTAGATTTTAATAATAATTCGCAGTTAACGTCTAATGAATTGAGCAGTTCAACTGGATCATAAGTGAAAATTAGTGAAGCCAAAAAATTAAATGTAAAACACTGACCTTCATAGCTGCGACTAAACAATTGTAACGTAAGAAATTCTAATGTGAATGTGCGCAAAACGAGGAAACTCGTGCCCACGAGCGCTCGATTCTTCACCAGCTTCTGATATGTGTGGTTATTGAGCCGCGCGGTTGATCTCAAATCACGAATTTGAAAAATATCCCCTTACCATTACATGTATTTGTAATGATGGTCGATATCGTTGATCTTACAATAATATATGTCGTATAGTAAGTATAATAGTTTAATTTTGTATATTAGTTCTATCACTTTTCGAAATTTAATGCCATCGCTTCAATTAAAGATTGTTGAATGAATGGTTTTAGCATCGAATAAATTCAACAATAAATTCATCAATATTGAATATTAAATAACAATGAACATTGCAATTCTTGTATAATATTATTTGTTTGCTGTCTGATTTCTAATGCAATTTTTTAATGTGGACGGGAACCTTTAAAATTCTAAATTGTTAACTGTTGCTAATTTATAGTTTATTTAAAATTTATTCAATAAACAATAAAAAGAATACCGTACCGACATTTTCAATTTGTTGTTTCATGTTTAATAACGACGTTTTTAAGCATTAATTATTGGAGGACTTTGATGTTTGACGCTTCGACGCGTTGCACAAACTATTATTTTTTGTTCTTACTTCGCATTGAAAATGAAATCGTTGCTTTGTTATTTGTTAATTAGCAAAGCAACGATCTGGAAGGGTTGACATCGTCAATCAACATTTATTTAATTAATAACATAAAGCGCGCCTCATGCAATTGCAAGCATGAGTAAGGCTTTTAAAATTTTTTATCGCGTTTAAACGCGATACAAAATTCAACTTAAACGCGATAAAAAATTCAACTTAATATAACGGGTGATACTCCATATACTCGTAGAATATTTGTTCCGTCGACGAGTCCAATACAACTTAACTCGGCGCGCGTCCTGTAGGTTTAAGGTTGTAAACCTACAAGTTTCAACAAAACAAAATGTTTTATGTTCGCTCAAATTATTTTGTTTGTGGTGGACATTTTTCAACTAGTTGTTTTGTTCGGTAACAAAATGTTTACCTCGCTCATACGATTAACTAATAACACAATAAGGAACTAACAAATAATAAAAAGGGAAATGCAAACGGTTAAGTAAATAATAACAAATTTGCCAATTTTATCACACCATTTTCCTACTTATTTATTAATGACTACTGTTTATGTAAACTTAAAGTTATAGCATATATACACATTATATATGATATGAGCGAGCTGAATCAAAAGTCAAAATAATGAATTTGGAATTTTGGTCAATGATTTTTTCTTTCGACGTGGCGCGCAAGCCACAAAGAAACCTCACGCAATAATTTGTCCAGGATAAAAATTGCGCGAAGATTCGCATTGGATAAAAGCATATGGTTTGGATGCTCACTTACTAAGCCAAATCTCTCGATCGCATTTATCCTTTGTTTCGATTATAGTTATGTTGCTTACGGCTAGTCAACCGAGTCTCTCACCCGAGACATTTGGAGATGATGTGAGTTTACTTAAATTTCATTTAATCTATCAGTAAAAGAACACTTTAAAGCCAAACTGTCCCTCTAGATCTCCTTTGATTGCGTTAAAATCTTCCAAAAATTCTTCGTGATTATTGTTTCGTCAAAAGTTTTTTTAACTGTGACTTTTTCAGATGAAGATGTTTGTAAAGACAGGTTCCACGACGAGTTCAGGATACTGCTCAAGTCCACAAGCCTCTGATGAAAGCTTTGATGGAGATAAGGTACGCAATCATCACTTTTTAACCATCTCTTTTAACTAAGATCTTTATTCTGATGTAAATATTATATAATCTGGACACCTGATATTATTGTTCATGATGGGTAATGTATGTATAATATATAATAAATTAGGGTCACTACTTACTACAAAGTATCTTGTGGAGGTATGATGAAAACTTCGAGAACCTATAGGCCATGAACTGGACTGTAGCCAACAATTTTGCGATCACTTTTGCGTTATTTTTGGATTATGACGAAGTATAAATGTCGAGAGTCTTTCCTCGGAAACTGTCAGCCTCAACATTCATTTTCATCTGTTGTAAATGTTGATGCCTTTCTAAGTCCTCACCAAGCCGTCTGTTTATATTTTGTGAGTCGCGTGTGTAACGAAACGTAAAGTCCTCATTATATTTGGCATGTTAAAACAAGCATTATAAAACACTACTCCTAGGATGTAGAATTTATTTAGTTTTCGGAACGTGTTGGTTATTAATGATGTGCGAGTTTGGATAGGTCGTGTGCGTGTGTAATAATAATGGGACAAGAAATCAACCTGGCCCACAAATCAAATTATAACCACCACAGATAAGGTATATTTTCCAAGTTAGATTGAGTTATTTAATGAAGTGTCAATTATCATTCCTGCCATAGAGTTTATAGACTGTAAGGAAGTTTTGGTTGACCGTCTCATTAAAATGCCAGCAATATAATAATTCTCAAATTCACAAATTGTAACATCAAGTACAGGAAGTTTTGATATTTTGGCATCCCCCGCTATCATCATCATCATCTATCTATCGTCATTATATTTCAGTGTAAGTTTGCATCATAGGTCCAAAACATGCATACGTAAACGTAATTTCCTTGTAATAAGTTGTACTTTTGCACAGTATCAATACGAAGATGTAGATCAATATGAATAATGAATATGTAGATATTCTTTTTATCCTGCTTAGAATTATCATTCCCAAAAAAATTACAAACGTTGGCTAAATATGGGAAATATATCCACTCTTAACCCCCAATGAAAAAATTAGATTTCTATTACTGACTACCAACCCTCTAAACGTGGATTCTCGTGTCCCACATTTGACGATATTCGTCAGCTTGCTGGAGCCCTCAATCTGGATGTGCTCACTGTGTATAATATGATATCTTTAATAATAAGGTCCTACGACGAACGTTTTAACAGTCGGCTTATTAGTCGGGCTCTTCACATCAAACCTTCATATTTTACTTAGTACGAGACAATCTGTAGATTGCATGTTACATGAATCAGCAAGAGAGAGGTGTTCAGTAGTCACGGGGCTCCTAGCTTAGCTTTAAATTCAGCCCTCCCACTATTGGACCTTGAAAGTCTCTAAGCTAATCTAACTTGGCTGCGATACATTATTATGTCGGAGATATTTTACAGTTATATCATACTTATTGACAGATACACTCACTTATATCTCGTACAGCACTATTACTAAAAGACCAAGTCAGATGATTGCACTTTTTAGGTCTCGCATCCGATAGGTCACACCTAACCAAGTCATGATTGAGTTTCGAACCTGAAAAACTCATTAGTGAACCAGAACGATCGGAGGTAATGACATTAACATTAACAAACTAAATTAACTAGTAATCCTACAACTCATCACTGCTTACATCAATCTTATTATTGATAGTTTAATTACATATCGTACAATAATCTGCAACATTTTATCAAATTTCCACTGATCACCCCTCTCGCTCCAAAAGTTTATTACAATTAAAGTCACATATCAAAGCATTAACTTTTACCTAGACCTTAAAATAGAACACTTTTCTAAGAACCTAAGTGATCGCAGCTATTCGTATTTCAAAATCGGTGCAATACAATCAGATGTACCCAATAAATTTACCGAGACTCAACCATACAGTTAATACACTTAAAGAGCCTGCTCAAGATGGGAGCTCATGAAAACTTATTGCCATATATGGTATAAACGGTGTGACATATTGCTTGACAAAGTTTCTTATTAACCTGAGGCCTCTGTGTTTATGTGCGAGTCTCGTATTAATATCCGTCGTCCTTCTTAGACAATAAATGTGGCTTGAAATTGAAGAAAAGAAGAGAGGATGGATCCATACGATACACAATGAAAGTGTATTCTGTTCCTCTAGTAAGGCCCACTTACCTCATTGTCGTTTAAATGCTAAGATTTGTGTCGCGTGAAAAAAGTGAGGCTTGAGCTCAATTGAGGCTCTATTCTAAATAGCGTGGGAAAGCACGTCAGTTTTCTTTGCATGAGATAAGACTAAGTTAACTGTTGATTGAAACAGAGATAAACATCCTGAGAAATTCTTAATTGGAAATAGTAACACCAAATTAAAGAGTGAGACTTGAGAAAACTCTGTCTTGGCAGTTAAAGAGTCCGTGCATCGCTCTTACATTTCAGGTTGATAATGCCATATCATATCTTTATCGTTAATTACCAAAGCTGGCCCTTGCCTGGTTAACAAGTGAAGGACAAATTATATCCACCATTTACTTCATTACAAAGAAATCAGCACATGTCCAGCCGGTGAGATTATCAGGCTCATTACTGCACACCCTCCCCTTGCACTCACTCGGTCACATGACCTGACTCTCCTCCCTCTAAGTGGTCAACGAGGCACGTTTTGATCGTTGACTGGCGGAGCTCGCTGGTGATTGGGGAACAGTAGTAGCGGGTTAGTTTGCAGTATTAGTCATCGATTATGTGTGTTTTAGTGGGGCGAGACAATGTTAAACAGTGGCAAGACTAAATTACCGTACCCTTAACAGAGATCTTTAGTGCTCGCCTAACCGACCTTGTTTTCCATCACACACACATATACACTGATCTTAGAATCATAATTATCAAAGAGAGGGCTGGACTTGACACATGCAACCACTGATAGGAGCCCTGAGACTTATCATGCGTCCTAAATGTCTGACAGAAAACATGTTACCAAGTTGATGAAAGGCAGTCAACACCCCGAGGCAAATGTGAAATGATAACTACTTCAAGACAGCTGATAAGTGCTGTATAAAACCACCACGTGTGTATATTGTACTATATATATATATATATATATATATATATGTTGTAGTTGGTTGTGTAATGTGTACATGCTCAGCAGGGCAGGTGACGCTCGGTTAAATGTACTCTCTCAAATCATCTGCTATATGTGTTAAATAACATAATCTTGTTCATGAAGTTCAATATTTACGGCCCTTATCTTCCACAACCCACTCTTGTATGGCTGTTTGAGTCTGTATATTCCTGTGCCGCGTAATCTCTATATAACCGACGTGTGTGTGCTACCATGATAATCTGCATATGATCAAGATCAACTAAATTAGATTCTTCTAGATCTTTTAATGTTACCTTACAATAGGTACGATGCATCGAATTCTTTAGAACTGTATTGTAGATGGTGACACTTTAAAAGGAGCCCCCAGACTGCCAAATGATGAGAGTCAGGGATAGTTAGTGGCTCTCAATCGAGTGTAGTTTCACTAAATTAAATTAACCCCGCGAGGAGAACAGCCTGAGGGCTGCCCTCTGTATGTCCGGCAGCGAAGCAATAAACCCACAACCAGGCTCTAAATTCTAACTATATTACGAGCCCCATATCTGCTAGACAAGGCGGCAAGATAGAGCTCGGGCTTCCGATCCGTGAACGCCCTGAGAAATCGAGCCGAAGAATTTTATAGCATACTCAACAGACTGTAGAGCAGACCATTGGTCGCCTTCGGGTTATTCAAGTTTAAAATATTTTACACTTTTTGTCCGTGTCTGATACATTCCCTGGCAAAGGTTACGACGTGCAGGTATTCATAAATATCTTTTGTCTTGGTCAAGGCAAGTACGTATACACTGGTTCTGACAGCAAATTGTAGAATCATTGTTCAGCCGTGCCATCCTCTCATTATGCAAACCGGAGAGCACTGTGTATATTCGCCAAATATAAGCAATCATAATTTTATTATCCATTCAGTTGCACAATCTACACCGGCCGGGTCACGTGCTCCAGTGATGGATTTGTAATTAGGAGCTGGTCCGTGGCTCACAACAACACACTCGCGAGTGTATGTTTTCTAAACCAATCTTACTCTCTGTTTACTGTTTACGGAAACTCTCTCCAAACAAACAAACAAACAAGACAATGGTCGCCGGTCGGAAGCTGATGCTTCTTCATGTTTGCTGATTGTCACCGTTTCAGACTTCACCAGAAGTTCCAGCCCCTCCTTGCTATATAGTGTAAGAAGTAGAGCAGCGAACAGGGGAGTGTTCTTTCAATCGAATTAAGACTTAGCCTTCTGCTTTGCACAAAAAGATGACGCAATAGAAACGGAAATATTTTGCCAGGCCCTTAGGTGCAGTTTTGACTAACTAATACACGAAGGGAGCTGATTACACGCTATTTTGGTATTACTCCGATATATGTTGGATGTGGTTTACGGGAATTTACTGAATTTATTATGACATGGAACACGGTCAAGAGGTTGGTTTCAAATTTCAAAATACCCCTGCTTAACACCTACACTGGATATTTACGAATATCAGGTGCTTCGAAAGTTCTTCCTTCACTAAAATAAAGGATCATTAGACACCTTCGTGACGAAAATCATGTGGTAAATCATGTGAAAAGTAAGGAGATCATACCTTGAAAAAGTTAAACCGATTAATTATATTAGAAGTTCACCGTTATTGCTAAACATTGGGTTTCACACTTTTGAGTAGAACTAAATATTTTGCGTTGGATCTGTAAAATAGAACGTACTAGATCAGGGGGTCCCATACACATAATATAATGCTGCTGTAAAATGTTGAGAGAGTAATTTTTTGGAAGGAGAGGGTTCGCCGTTCGGGCTATGCAGCAGCTCGATATTTCCATAAAGTCTAACGAAATTGAAAACTTATATTTTGGATCATGTGCATTGTGCAGCTGATCAGTGAGCCCCCTTTCTTCAATCCTTTTGTTGAAACCAGATCTGAGTAAGAACACAGGAAGGTTCCTGCTAGTGGGAAATCAATCAATTGTCTCAAATTTCGATAACCTTTGTCTGGGATGAAAGAAAAATACAGGGCGGCTAAAATTAACGCATTTTCGACATGTGAGTTCTGATGTCTACTAGTGAGTATATACACTCAATACTCCACCACTCCCTTCACGTGTCGACATGACCTTAATTGTTGGGCCTCCAACCCTGTCCTCAGACACCGAGAAAGGTGTCTACTGAAACCATCTGTTCACAATTATTGGCTTAATGTACACTTACATTTGCTATTTGAAACTATTCAAATTATCGTCAACATCAAACAGAAGATAACTCAGTTTATTTTCAGTTGGATTATTTTGGGAACAGCAGCAGCTACAAGATGTGGGGAGAAAACAGTACGAACAGCGAACACATTGCTCACAACATTCTCTCACAGCTGTTTGAGGAGGAGAGGATTAAGTCCCCTTTACCTAACACCATGTAAGTAACACCAAGTAGTACTTGGAACTTGGGGTGCTATTATGGTACTGATGTAAACATTTAGCTTATTAATTGTATCTCCAGACGAGATTGTACTCACGGGGGCCAGGCAGTCTAGGTAATGAGTAGTTTCCAAGAATGTGCGAGAGTTAAACTCTAAGCCGGGTTGCTGAAGATTAAATTTTGATATCTCCTAGCCACTCCTTTCTCATATCTCAACCGCGAACTTTAAATTCGCTGGTTCGGGAACTTAACACCAGATAGTTTTACTGTCTTTAAGCAGAATTAGAGCCTACTCTATAAAGTACTTCTACAGGCTGAGCGGTTGAGAGGAATCTGCCGCAAAATGAACAACACACTTTATAGTTTATGACTTTCCTTATTCGGTATAATCAGGCGATAGAAGTGGTACATGCAATCTTAACCCCCTATCCAGTAGTGCATGCAATATCGACCCCATCATGTCATTCCACCCCTCTTCAGACTGCTTTAAAAACATCAAATATTATCTGCATATTACCAAACTGCATTCTGGTATTACAATAACAATACCTACGAGTGGAATCCACTCAGTGGATACAGACTCTTGCTCCCTTTATAATGTCTATCCAATGACTACATGTCTTCGACAACCTTCTGGAGAAATATCGCAATATTCCGCCCACGAAATGCAATATAACCTTGTCAACCTTCTGTCCACGAAGTGTTTGGGAAATTAACATTTCGGACATTGAATTTGAGTAAGATTACGATAATGAACATGACAACGTACCGCTAAATTAGATTGAGCTTTGAAAAGTCGTTATATATATTATGATAGCCATGAACATCTGGACTACCAAACTTAAATCGTTTGATTTTTCTTAGGATCACTTGGTGCAGCAGTGGACAGATCTTTGGGTCGAATTACCGATATGCTTTTAATAAGTATGACATCTTTCCTCGCAGAATTCTGCCGGTTTTTATTAATTTCAACGTCATGAAATTGCATTGCATGTCTTCAATATTCATCAATAAATGAAGGTGAACCTCTATTTGCTGGCTAATGGCTTTTACATTCTCCTGGGCCCACCCTACAGTACCTTACAACCCCTCCTTACACAAGTGAAGCATATTCGGGACGTTAAAAATAGAATGGGTACGTTAGACTGGGACAAACTCATCGGCCGGACAAGTAGGATAATTCCCGGTGTGTGTCCCTGTGAATTAACGTCTGATGTTTGAATTAAGTAGTATGGGACCTCAGGACCTGTGTACGTGATTACTTCACTGGTCCCCTACCGGCAAATGTCAGACTTGTTATTTGTGTACTCTCTGTATTTGTGCTCTAATTAAATTGATGGTCAGTACCGTGTTGTTGTTGAGGCCCGTCTTGCTTCACTAGCTACAATTACATTCCGAAAAAGGTCCAACCTATCAATATACAACTATACAAAAACTACATCTTGACACTTGGTACGGTAGTACGACGTTTTAAAAGGAGAATGCCTGCAATTCTATGTTTAAATATATCGTATCTGACTACATAGTACTAGTCACAGGTACAGTACAGGAATTATAACAATGATGTAATAATGAGAGGGTGGTGTTCATTTGAAGTCTATCCCACAGACCGGAGACCACCAATTAATTGATAGATAGTAATGTGTTGTCACTCTCACCGCGGTACGAAATGTGCAGGTGCTGCCTGGAAATACCCCGCTCAATTAAACTTTCCCAACTCTCACCCTCCGCAGCCCCCTTTCAAAGGTGTGTGGGAACACGGCTCCTTTAATGGCTTCTCTCTCATTACCTAGATGTGGGAAACCTCCTTCCCATTAAAGACACCGTTTTGTGTTCGTAACCACTTAATCTCCCTCCGTCTGAGTAAGCTTCCAATTGACTGAAGTGGTAGGCTGGTGGGTATAGGTCAGATGGCTGACTTATTATAAAATGTCAAAGAGCATATTATGAATGGAGTCTAACATGCGACCTGCATGGCAGGAGGATGACCAAAGATTAGGTCGGTCGTGTTTTAGTTGTCAGTCGCGAATGTGGACATGTTACTTTCTTTGAGCGGCGGTTGCACAATATAACATAAGATTGGTTTTAACCCGTCCATGACATGTGAGTTGGCTATAATCTAACAATTGTCTCCGTTATCACATGTTACACTGGGCACACAACAGCTGTGATGAATAAAGCTCTCTTGCAAATCATTTAAATTTGACAATTGTAACATTTTTCAATGCAGCATCAACCGTTTTCGCACATCGTAGAGTTGACTTTCGACTGGGTGTACCGTCGCCAGGTACTAGAATAGTGTTATTTACTCGATTGAGAACCTAGAATGACTATTAATACCTGCTGACGTTCTACCTCTGACATTGTTCAATCTGAAACACATTTTCACACAACCCTTTCCAATCGAATCTTTCTCTAACCCTACAAGTTCGGGGCAATAAGTTAACTTAGGGAAGTTATATTTTAAGCGTTAAAAGTCGTTGGCCATTAGCCAAGCTAAAACGTGTAAGATTTTCTATCTTAGCTACGATCTAGAAGTCTGTTGTCGAGGGGCTACCTGTATAATAGATTTAGAGTGAGAAGAGGAAGCCCTGCTGGGACCCTGGTGCTCTGACGGCCGGTATTGCAATAATCTGACCCACAACAAAGGGCCGGCTTCTCGTCGGCCGGGTCACGTGGTCACCAACACTGCACCACAACTACACTCCATTCGAGGGCCGACACAAAACAAATTGAATCCTGCCATTTCCTCGTAGTACTACTCTCCCAGATATATTAGATTTGAAATAAAGTGGAGACGTCTGAGAAGCGCGGCCGGGTGGTGCCCGAGAGTAAGAGCGAATATTGTGTATGATGTGTACCTTGGCCTTGTACATTCCTTTCGTTGGCGGGGGATAACTGCTTAATTAATACACTCTCCCCATTGCTAGTACTACCCCTGTCAAACTTCAGCCTCCCCGTGAAATGTGACAAGACAAATGGTCTCGGTAGTAGTATAAGTACCAGCAAACCTAGTCGGCTGGGTCTTGTACAGGTTAATCTGTGCAGGAAATTAGATGATAAATTATATAATATTAGGGGCCAGGAATCTCTAGTAAGTCTTCGTGGGGCGTCCTGCTGCATCGGCTTTAATTAATATACAACCGGTCTAATTTTCAATGTACCCTATAGTCTCGCCATCATTATACCTTAAAAGAGCGCCAAGCTATCTGGCTACAGTTGAAGTAACTTGAGGGTTGAATCTTTCTAATTCTTTAACCTTGCAACCCCCCACCAAAGTCTTAATCTCTGCCAGGCAAACACTGGTCTCAAGAGGACCATCTACTTAAATTCCGTGTGAAAGTTAGAGTTCACACATTTATTAGAGGTGTAGAATGATTGATAATTTGGATATAAGTGTACGGTCGCTTCTTCTGTCTCTTAGATCATTTCCACAAAGGTGGTCGGTTGTTATTGGCTGTGTGTCAAAGAGTCTCGGTGTCCGGTGGTGAAAATCAGGAATTTGCCTAATTATTTTCCGGTTACTGTCGATTTATTGAGGGCGCTCACTCATCTGGTTTACTACATGTAACACCTCCTCCGTCTCCTCCATGAAAAATTTTTTTTTTTTTATACCGCTCCCAACGGTCAAACCCTCCATGAAAAATGTGACGTTTTAAAATTTACACTTCTTTCCAGATTGAGAGATGTAATATGCCAGTAATATACAAGATTAACAAGTCATTTAGTCATCAACTTCTGCATAATATGTTAATAACAAACAACATTATTACTAATTAAGTTATAATAATAAACTTCTTGATAATTACCAAAAATAACAGATGGCTATTTCAGGTCTAGTGATTCAGGAATAGTGTGGTCCAACGAGTACCAGTGCTCTTACTCAGAGACCCTCTCCTCGCCTCTTTCTGCCTTTTCTGATGAGACAACAGGTACGTTCTAGCTGTGTAACATCGTTTCTTTTTTCAACCAACACTTCTCCACACGGACCATTTTAAATGTTCTACTCACTCCCAAATTTCGAATATCTTTTTTAAAACTTGAGACTGTAGCTGGAATTTAGTGGCGTTATTATGTTACCAACTGTAATTCTAATTCAAACTTGTCTAAATTCTATTCCGGGCTATTGTCAATAAACTTCACCCTGACCTCATGGAAGTAAATCAGAGATTACAATCATTTGAACTTGGTTATGATAAAGGGTCCTCTAATCATCTCAAGTAAATAGTGGTTTTAAGTTATCACTAACTCCTGAAATTTTATCTCGACGCTCACACTCAAATCCCGCCATTACTCTAACCCTAAAATCTAATTTCAACTCCAAAGTGTAAAAATATCCAAGTGTAAAAATAACCCCTACTCGAACTCAGTACTCAACCCTAGAAAAGTCTGATGTCTAAGAGATACCTCGACTCCAGCAGACATATCCATTCTAGACACGCTCAACTGTAGTTAAAAGATATTAATATTCACGAAGCTGGTGAACGGGAATCTCTTCATGCACATTAGCATTATATTGTCAAGTAGGAGCCTCGGGCGTTTTGTAAGCTTCAGACCAGGCCTCTTACCCCACCCCTTATTATTACTCCTATGTAGTTTAAAATCGGCTGTAGAATTATAATTTGTCTGGAACTGTGTTTGTTCCGGCGGGTTACGTAACATTTCAACCTAATAATCAACTTTATTTTCAGATTCTGCGTTCATGCAGTGGGGAGGAAAGCAGTTAGCTCCTGGTTCCCAGCTGCCCGCTTCTCAGCTGCCGGCCCAGCCAACTAATGGAGGTTGGCCTACTAGCCTCCATCAGAAAAACACTGTTAACCCGGTCCCTACTCACAATAACAACACCGCTCCCAACCCCCCTCAGTCTCACTTCTCTCCCTCCAACTTCAACCAACAGTTCAACAACAACAACAACCACACTGGTCCCATGGGTAACATGGGAGCCATGACCAACAATAGTCCGATGGGAAACCACGGTTCTATTACCAACCACTCCACCAACATGGGTGGCATGAACAACATGGGTGGCATGAACAACATGGGAGGAATGGGAAACATGGGAGGTATGGGAAATCACGGTGGTAATGGCTTCAACGGGTTCGGGAACAGCCCTAATTTCGGAGGGAACCGTGTCTCTAGTGGAATGAATGGAATGATGCAGCAGAACAGAGGACTCCCAGCGGAGGTCCTTCAGCAGAGTCTGCTGAGGAGAAAGTTCGCAGAACAGAGCTTTATGAATGTCAACGATAACAGGTAACCTATTACCTCTGTCTTACATCTCTCATTGAAATCTAAGTCTAGACCTTTAAAATTTGAAACGTTCAATGTCATTAGATAATGCCTATATATGTAAAAGGTTGAGAAATCTTCTCAAACGAACATTCTGTTACATTTTGGGATTAATCGAATTTTAGATATCGATTAACACAAAGCCATGCTCACGGGAAGACACGGTATATTTTGCGGTGGTATAAATTACATGTTAACTGTTAAGTCGCCTTGAAGTGAAGCCCGGTCCGAAGATCTTCAAGTTTTTTTTTCTTAATTGGGTTTACGAGGGTGGCACAGTTTTTACCCTTTTAGTTCAGTATTTGGTCATTAGTGTCACGTTTAAATGTGTCGAGCACATGATTTTACGAGTGATCATTGGAACGTGACTGAAATGCACGGATAGAGCTGATAGGAGTGACCACCCACCTTGACTGATAAATCACGTGATATTGTTCCTGGCCTCCTATTGGCTGACATGGTCGCGATACTGAGCTCTGATTGGTTGATTTATGTAACGCAAGGTGTTATTTCAATCTGTCAATCAGGTCAATACTACACTATAATGTAACAGTCATGTTATGTCTCGGATCACGTGTATAAGATAATGAATCCTGATTCGGACACACCATTATATATTTTATATATACCTGTACTCGACAAATTTAATCAAATCCTCGTGCACCGCAATCATTAGGTAGCCATTGCATTTAAATTACATTACCAGACCTTACTTCCAAAACCTCCCAAGGTTTTCCTATTACCAGATCATAGCTGTAATTTGAACTTTCAACCGATCACCAAGAGATCATCAATATATTTACGGGTCAAAGTAAATTAGGTTGCTTGAAAAACAATCGCGGTGATACGCTACTCAGACTAAAAGGTGTGGTCCAGAACTTTACACATTATCTCGGTGATAGTAGTTAAACCCTGTATCAAAGTGCGTCTTCTCCCGCGTTACTTTATCCTCAAAGGGCGAGAGAGAGACTACCTTGATATCATACGGATTTATGTGTAAAGGAGTTGTGCGCTCTTTTGGTCAAATGATGTGTCATGCAGGAACGGTCCACATGCTCATTCTAACACCTCGCCCTACAAGCCGTAGCTTTGCTTGTGCACCGTAGTTAGGTGTTAGAAGCGGCGTGATCATTGGAGCAATTCCTTGCAGTCATTTAACTGCACCCGTGGGACATCTAGGTGCTGCAATTTTTAATGGACCTTTTAATTATACTTGAAGTGCCGTACTATATACGTACGATATACTTATTTTGTTCTGACACGTGACAGCGACTTGCATGTACGAAAATTTGCGTCACGTGTCAAAACAAACATTTGTTGTTTGTCACCTCTCAACTCTTACAATAAACCTCCTGAAAGAAGAGACATGACACATTCACAGCTCCTCACTTGTCGCAAAATCAATCGCCCGAGCCAAGATTTTAGCTCCCTCCAGTTATGAAAAGTACCTTAATTAATTAATGATACTGACACTGTTCTCAAATTTCAGGTGTTTTCCCTCTTCCCCCAACAAGTTGTACCCGAGTGCGGCACCCAATGTCATCTCCCTTAACCATCACAAGAAACTGCCTCTCTCTTTCAACAATCAGATGGAGTGTCCCTTACCCACTCAACAACCACAGGTTACATTTTAACCAGATATACTTATCACTGACAAGTCTGTTGGCTACCAATGTAATCTCAGTTTTTCCATCATGATTTGTATTTTCCATAACGATTAAAAACTCTAGCATCTCCATAAATCATGTCTGCTTTTACATAAATACTGGCTGTCCTGGCCTCCTAGACTTGAATCATAATAGGCAGTGATAGCATGAGCCTTCCCAAAGGGGCAGTTATATCAGTACCACGCAATTTCATGAGGGCGGATCTAATTATGAGATTCTGGCTAAATAGATTAAGTACTGCTTCACTGCCAAAATTATCTCATCTTGTTTTGTTTAAAGAAGCATTATACTAATTATTAGATAAAGACTAGCTGAAGAAGGTAACTGTCAGGGATATGGGTTTAATCTTGTGTTTTCTTTCAGATCTCTCCCGACAGTAAAATATTGCTCACCACAATTGAAACCTGCTGGAGTCAACTCCTCCAACTCAGCAGAGAACAGAAAAAGGTAAGAACTGCTAGTTTATATGTTGCCCGAACATGCCATGATAAGACTGCTATTACTCCGAAGCTATCCCGTTAGTTACGATTACGTTATTTTATAGACTTCATGAAGTCTTAGAATAGCTCTGACATGAGATATCATGTTGTGTGTTCTACAGCAATCGCGTTACAAGCTCCGTGATTTTGCTATTGTTCTCTTTGTTGGAAAAATTGCGCTTTTTTGTTCATCGCATTGTATTGTGAGTACAGTACTGCTTACATTATTTGCGCGCGGCACCCTGCGCGCACACGTGCTACTGCATCTGTTCTATTTTCTCTTTATCCGTTAGTGGAGTAAGTGTTAATTAACTATACTATAGTTTCCAATCAATAGCAGGTGTTGCCTCATATACTAATCATGTTCTATTAGTTGTGCTTCAATCAGCTTATCCATCCAAGCATGTAACAAATGTATTGGTCTCAGCTCTGCTATCATTTGTGATGCAGTCATACTCATTTGAGGAGTTGGTTTAAAATTTATATTTAACACTCCATTAGTCTTATCATTGTGATGTCAACACTCCTGCCTCCTGACATTTGCTAACCGATATAATTTTCAGTACGAATTCGAGGTTTCCGCACTGTTCAAAGATTTTGTGAAGCCTGTACCAGTCCAGCCCAAACACAAGTCCCCATTTAAGCTGGATCTGCTGATTCAGAATACAGAGTCTACGCACGCCATGGTAAGTGCCAGTTGTGTGAGAACAGACACTAGTTCATTTTTCTGTCTAGTTCCCTGGCGGCGTAGGGTATCTTTCGCCTGTTACGTAATACTTTTTATCTTAATTTCTGCACATATATATTATATACCCATCCGGTTCTATTGTGATTTACGTCGAGAAGGCTAAGATGCCCTTAACTTCCGGTCCGGTCACCTATCGTACTAAAATAGAAAACCCCTGTCCCGATGAACAATCTCTAATCAAAATTTGCTGACGTCATGAATAATGAATATATGCCATGAAATATCTCAAAGTTACTTTCCGCTTTTTCTACTGCTACACTGATTCTGCTCTGAGATATCCCTTGATAGTGACGTCGTTTACTTTCCTTTTGCCGTATTTTCACTGCAAACTGACAATATCTCCCCCAGATTGTTGCTTTTGTTGACAACGTTGAGAAAGTCTCACAGAGTGGAATAATAATGAGGACCACGATTAAAAAGTTCGTTGCGATGTTGGATGAGATATGCAGGGAGATGCTAGATTTAAGAAGACAGATTCACCCAGTCCACGGACTATGCAATGAAGAGACAAGTAAGTCACGTCCTAAAGTTATTCTGACGTTTTTAGTTGTATGTGTTGACAAATAACTTACAAAAACGCAGCACCATTTCCCGTATTCAATCTTATATTTTTGGATATTTCCCATGTTTTAAACAACAGAATATGTGACTGGAGCTAATTTTCTTCTCATCACAGTTCGAAAGCTGATTCAGACATTGGAACTCTACTCAAAGCACACCAAGACCGTACGCTCCAACCTATTCATGATGGTTACTGTGCTACAACAGGAAAAGACCAACTAGAACTACACCCTACCTCATCCCTTGTACCTCACTACTTCGACTCTCCTTTCACACATTAACCTAATATAACTGTACACAAGTTGTTAATGCTTGCCTGTTATTCACAATCTGCACACAATTGATTGTTTCATGAAACTTACATACACGGAAGTTGACGTGACTTCTGTAGATCTCTGTGTTTTTGGCTGATTATGTTGTTAACAGGTGAAACGATATATTTAGAAAAAAACTTTCGTAGAATTTTGTCGCGTTTACTGCTCTCATTGTTTGAATATATGGATATAAAGTTTATGAATAAGTATATCAAGTAATGTTCCAGTTTAAGTTATTGTTGAATTTATGGTTAACATATGTATACTTTCCTTCCTACGCACCTCCTTTCCGCTTTTAATTTTTAAAAAGGTCCAATACTGACATTTTCGACGCATTGAAAACCGGAAAGGAGTTGAGGTATTTTCAAAACAATGTTATCGAATTAAGTATTATTTTTAAGAATTTGTTTTGACGGTGGATTTAGTACCAGGAGTAAATTTACATTATTTGTGTTGACTGATGTCGCTTAAGTTTCGCATACATTTTGAGCGATACCAATAATAATATTAATTTTAGTGTAACGAATTTAGTATTTATTATTTAGTACTGGTATTTCTCTCTAATGCATGTTTTTAAAGTTGGAACTATGTTTGAAAACGTTTAGAATCAATTGTTTTGTAGTTTTAAAATTTTTATTAAATATATTCTACCTATTTTTGTCGGATGTTTTAAAATATTAGGGTATCTCGATTCTTATTTATCACAGTGCACAACGGTTGAAAGTGCGGGTTTGAACCTAAAGTAACGGCTGAAGTCGCGTATGTTTTCTACATTTTTAGCTTTGTTTTTTACCGGGGCTCTGCGCTGTTTCTAACACTCGGACTAAAAGACTACTATTTTGTCAATAGCTGGTCAGCCTCAAGTATCCAGTATTTCCAGTTTAAGTTATTTTGCTTTGGTTCAAATTGTAACTCTTCACGCCCCTTGTCGTTTTAATTTTAAAAGGCCAACTGACATTTTCTGAACGCATTGAAAACCGAAGGTTGAGATTTTCAAATACATGTTACTCGATTAAGTATTATTTTAGAATTTCTGTATTTGAGGTGATTTAGTACCAGGAGTAATTTACATTATTGTTGATGATGTCGCTAAGTTTGCATACATTTTGAGCGATACCATATAATATTAATTTTAGTGTACGATTTTAGTATTTATTATTTAGCGATTCTCCTAATGCATGTTTTTTAAGTTGATATGTTGAACAACGATTTAGAATCAATTGTTAAGTTTAAAATTTTTATTAAAATTCTACTATTTGTCGATGTTTAAAATATTGGGTATCTCGATTCTTATTATCACAGGCACAAAACGGTTGACAGTGGGGTTGACCAAAGTAACGTGAAGCGACGTATGATTCTAATTCGTCTTTTGTTAAAACCTATCAGTGATTATTCCTTTCATAGTAATACAATAAGTAGATTTTAGCTAGCGATAACTTGCTGCTATTTTTAGAAGATCTCGTGGGGGAGCAACGTCGACAATCCTCTATTTAAAGTTCAGACGGATGAATTAATTCAACACGTACATATTCAAGGCCTCAAATAGCATGTAATACTAATGTATTTAAGCTCTAAAGTTTCAAGATGTGATTAGCACTTTCGGCGAATCTTCCACCTATCTGGCCGGCCCAACTATTAGAAATTAAATTTAGCTGGTAAAACAGAATATACTAGAGTAGAGTCTAGCACAGTCGGGATGGTCTGTAAGCTTCACGTTGCTCCCCCCCCAGGAATATTGGTACTTTTTTAATGTGACACTAATGCTTTTTCGTGGAACTTAATAACTTAATTACTTGTTTTAAAAAGACCTGGCACAGTCGACTATTTGAATTTAACAATTATTTGACATGCAAGTATTGAATGAGTATAACAGATAATAATGCTATGGTGTCAAAGTGAGCAAGACTTTCGGTTAATTAAGTAAAGGCAAACAATTTTTGAAGAGTTATTATATCATGTCTTTTTAGCTACGATTTATTGTTTTTAAGCTCTATTATCACTTTGTAGAAGATTAAGTGTATGCAGTTAATATGGTTTTTAGTTTCAGTATACTAAGTACGTTCAGCAAGCTCATTATTGTGTACATTGAATGTGTTTATACACCACTCCAGGACTAATGAACACATCTCAACGACAAGTATTGATAACAATATAATATATGGTATATGTTTATAATATTTACGTCTTTCGTCTGAATTTTTGATGTTTTGGAGTTAGTTTCGTAATTTAAAATTGTTCGGAAGTTGTTAAAATTCGTCAAAATTACCTCTGAATTCGAAACTTCACATTTGCCAGAGATTTCTGACATTTTTACTCCAACTGCAGATTCCAAACGAATTCTAAGGTGGTACAGCTGACTGTTCAGGTTTTTATACAGTTGAGCTGCGCGGAAAGAATGCCTCCAATTGACTTAGCTTTCGATAGATTTAGATTCCTTGCGGTAGAGGTGAAATGTGGCGGTCTAGAATCAAAGGGAATCTGCAGCTGGGATCTTGTAAAGAGGATTTGTCAAAATATGTCTTGTTTTGCTGTTAAGTTGCTTATAATATGAGAATACACATAACGTTGCTCTTTTTAAAACTTTTAAATGTTACAGTAAGAAGGCATGTGACTGTTTGTAGCATCAGATTTATTCAGAAGTAACATGCCAAACTACACCCTTTCTAGTATTTTGATTCACAATTTTCACCCATCACAATTCATTACACACAACACCAGAAGAGTAACTTAAAACTCGATTAGTAGACTTCATATAATTTGGACACTTCAGGAAATGCATGCCGCAGAATCGTCCAGTTCTGACAAGTTTCAGTTTTCATTATATTTATCTTGTTAACAATAGTGAAGGTAACTGTATGTTTGACCGTTAAGTAACACAATGTATGTTTTTAAGCCAACTACCTTACGTGTGCACATTTTTAATAAAATTTGCTGCAATTTTTAGAGTTTTATTTCTAATACTTCTTCGAATTGATGTTAAGTATCTGCTCAAAAGAGCCGCCCTTCTCAAAAATTATATATCATAGTCAGCTATATTATTAAATCAAAGTTCTAAACAAGGGATAGTTTAAAAAACAACGCCCAAGTCTAATCTTTCCCTAAAACAAAAACTAAAAATTAAAAACTTCATTGCAATTTCCGCCAATATCTCTTTTCATAACTCAAATTACGAAGATAATGCAGGTCAAAGATACTATTTAAATAAAGATTTCTTTTACATAAATCATGCACAATCAGCGAGAATAGATTGCTTTGGGGTCTTCCTCTTCTCCCTGGTAAGTCCAGTGTATTGATGGCAAAAATGAGGGAAGAAAACGCTGGTCCGTCAATAGGACCCCGCAAAACATGTCCTAACATTCTCCACCGACTACGGGCCACTTTTTCTGACAATGGTTCAGCATTGCAGCGTTTATACAAGTTTTTGTTGGAGATGACTCCTGGGTACTTTATATTCAAAATAGTGCGAAGATGTCTGCGGTGAACAACATCTAGTTTTTCAAGGAATATTTTGGGGACGGCCCAACAGGATGAGTTGTACATAAGAACCGATACGACTAAAGCATTATACAGTATTAGACGTTTGTTTAGGGGCAGTTTATCACTCCAGGCCTTCTTGTAATTGTTAAAGGCAGCATATCCCAGGTTTATGCGACGCTGAATATCAGCTTTGCTACACAAGACGGACCCTAGAGTGATACTTTTCCTCCATGCTTCATTCCCCGACACTAATTTTCCATCACTGTCGACTTCACCCGTACTAGCTAAATAAACATGAGTGAAGTCCGTTTTGTCTTCATTGACAAAGAGGTTCCATTTCTCGAGTATAGCTGTTGCCGGGGGCAAAATAGCTCTCAAGTTGTCTTCCTCTTCATCATTGAAGTCAACATCATCAGCATATTCAGTGTCAAGTGGAAGGCCAGCAATAGTAATCGGGGGGATCGGCCTATCTAAACTGATTGTTATAGTCCATCTAAGTTCATTCAAAGCACCAGCCAAGACAAGGGTGAACATACAGCCGGATAGACAGTCACCTTGGAAAGCTCCAAGGAGACTTAAAAACTCGGCTGAAAGAACTCCATTTACCTTCATCCGTAGCTTTGTGTTGGACAACAACAACCGGACAATCCTCAGCTCATCCTCAGTACAGCCACACAGTTTCAGGAGTTCAAGAATCGTAGTGCGTTTGATCGTGTCAAATGCACTAGACATATCAATGCCCATGCGATGATACTCCCATTTCTTTCTTTGGACAACTGACAGTAGAACTCGCTGACACCAAACAATTAATATATATAATAAATATCAGCACAAGAACGAGCGCGTTTATATGCGCACTGCCATGGACCAGTGAAGGCGTTCACTTTTTCTTCTATCCTTTTAAGAGTAGCCATAGACAGAATTTTTCTGGCTGCATTGGACAAGGTGAGTGGACGTAAATTCTTCAGAGGACCAATAGGTTTTTTTGGCTTCAAACATTTTCCTTGAATCGTTTGTGTTAGTAATATCACTATAGGTCTGATCAGCTTGAGCAGACCTCACTTCAACTAATCTTTTCTGGATACTATTAGTGAGGTGGTTGATGGATGACCTCAATGTAGTTCGATCAAGAGATTGATTATTGTTAAGTAGCTGTCGGAGATCGTGACGCTTTTCAACAAGCTCTTTGAGAGTGTCATCACTGCTGTGATGTTTCAAGCGAGCTTTAGGTTTTGGGCCGATGGAAACATTGGCAGCATCATGAATATGAGACATAAGATTTTGAAAATTGAAGGTCGGCATTTGGATCGTTGCTGGTCACAAAATTTGAGAACTTGCCTTCAAGGGCCAAGTGATATTTATGTTGCATATCTTTGTTGCTTACAAGTTCTGATATATTATAAGAAGGAACACGACGTTGTTTAGGTTTGAAACAAAGATGAATGTTGCTGAAATTGATGCGAGCAATGACAAGTCTATGATCTGAAAATGTTTTAGTACCAGCATAAGTTCTTGATTGAGTCAAAAGACACTTAGATCTATTTCGGCATAGTATGTAATCTATTTGAGAGTATACAGGCAGTGTCTTCTTACTGTACCGACCAGCCGACCAATCCTTCCGCCAACCAGTAAATGATGTAACACGTCTGCTAGGTTGTATAAAACTAGTGTTCACAGCAAACAGATTATTTTCTGAGATAAAATCCAGTAATCTAGAACCATTTTCGTTCCTTACTCCCATTCCGTATTTCCCCATATATCTACCAAAACCCTGTTCAATATCAGAAGGGGATAATTTACCCAGTTTTGAATTAAAGTCACCCAGAAATTGCAACTCCACATTAGAGGGTACATTCTTAGCCTCTCTTAGCTGCCCATAAAAGTTATCCAAAACAACTGGATTTTTACGGACTAGCCCCTGATGTGGACAGTAGGCATTGATCACCCTGCAACGTAGGGGTGTACCGCTACGTGAGGGGATGCAAATATCGACATAGCATACCCGGTCACTGATGTACTTCCAGCTTGACATACGTTGCATGCCACTTTTCGCGCGCCGCCGAAGGCGGAATATCTCTGATATTTGGATACGAAACATGTATCAACTTCCAGCAAACCACATAGTTCATCATGCGAGGACTGATTATAAAACCCAAGCCTCCATGGCGACTTTCCAACTGCTCGAACAGAAACAAGTTAAAACCGTTGCGCAAAACAAGGCTGTCTGATTCGGTGACTTTAGTTTCCTGCAGAGCGCAGATGTCGACATTGTACTTTTCACAGTCTAATCCTAGTAACTCACGTTTACTATGTAGGCTATCATCTTGCTGAACACCGAGCCCACGGATGTTAAATGTGGCGAAGCTGATCATTAATACAATGGTTGTT